TATTTGAGCAATTGAAGCTAAAATATATACACCTGGAAATAAGTAAAGCACACCCCGTAAATTTAAAATTTGTTGTGATTGAAGGCACTGTCATGAGATGACAACTGAACTGAGCTAAGAAATAGTAATGTGATAAGTAGCGATACCAATTTAGTAATCACATACCAGTAAATCTATGTGTTTAGTTATTTCTTAACCAAATTACCGGTATTGAAGCATAAGCAAATGTGTTGTTTTTAACAAAATTGTAAAGTGTTTATAAGTATGGTGTTGGCGCGTTTACAAAACATTCACTGGTGGATATTTTTGGTAAATGTTGACGAATACGTAACCTAAAATGACATTATGTAGCCAATTTTTAATAACCTTTGTAACCGCCAATTATGTGCCAGTCTCTGGTGTTTGTGTATATGTGCAAGTCTCTGGTGTTTGTGTATATGTGCAAGTCTCTGGTGTTTGAGTTTATTTGCCAGTCGCTGGTTTTGTGTATATGTGCCAGTCTCTGTTGTTTGTGAATTTTATTTATAACATATTTTATGGACAAGCTGTTTTAATAGCATTTATTCTTACTTTTCCTGGGGAATAAGATCTTTCCGTATTATAGTAAATCATGCGCACGCGCAATTCACTCTTTTTCGAGAACAAAGGAAACGAAGCAAAATTTTCTCTCGGCTAGTTAAATATGTGTGTATGTGCCAGTCTCTGGTGTTTGTGTATATGTGCCAGTCTCTAGTGTTTTGTATATGTGTGCCAGTCTGTGGTGTTTGTATATATGTGCCAGTCTGTGGTATTTGTATATAAGTGCAAGTCTCTGGTCTTTGTATATTTTGCCAGTCTCTGGTATTTTTGTATATGTGTGCAAGTCTCTGGTGTTTGTGTATATGTGTCAGTCTCTGGTGTTTGTGTATATGTGTCAGTCTCTGGTGTTTGTGTATATGTGCCAGTCTCTGGTGTTTGTGTATATGTGACAGTTTCTTGTGTTTCTATATATGTGCCAGTCTCTGGTGTTTCTATATGTATCAGTCTATGTTATTTGTGTATATGTACCAGTCTCTTGTCTGTGTTTATGTGCCAGTCTCTTGTGTTTTTGTATATGTGCCAATCTCAGGTGTTTGTGTATATGTGCCAATCTCAGGTGTTTGTGTATATGTGCCAGTCTCTGGTGTTTTTGTATATGTGCCAGTCTCTAGTCTTTGCATATATGTGCCAGTCTCTGGTGTTTTTGTATATGTGCCAGTCTCTAGTGTTTGCAATATATATATGTGCCAGTCTCTGGTGTTTGTATATATGTGGCGGTCTCTGGTATTTGTGTAAATGTACCAGTCTCTACTGTCTATGTATATGTGCTAGTATCTGGTGTTTGTAATTATGTATCTGTCTCTGTTTTCGAAGTATACATGTGTCAGTCTCAGGTGTTATATGCCAGTCTTTGGTGTTATTGGCCAGTCCCTTGTATCAGTATATGTGCGAGTCTGTGGTGTTTTGTATATATGAACCAGTCTGTGGTGTTTGTGTATATGTGCCAGGCTCTGGTGTTTGTGTAACGGCTAGTGAAATATGTTAAAGTTTTACCTCCTCCTCCCTTAATTACCATCCATCCACTACAGAACATTAGTAGTGAGATCATACAATTTCATTTACTTTGGACATTTTTAATACAGTATTTTATGCATGTTGTTTTTTGTTTTTACTATTTATCACGTTGAAATTCATCTTTATAAGTTTCCTTTTGTTCTTGTATTTCTTTATAATTTGGTATATTATCATTTGTAATCATAATATTTAGATTGTATGTTTATAAGGCTACTTACTTGTGATTTGTATTAAAAGTTCATGGATGATATTTTTCAAGGATTTAGCCCTACATCAGATGGTATTAGACACAAGATAAAAGGGTACAGGTTTCCAGACTATGGTTTTTCCAGGGCGAGTTGACCACGATTTGAAAAATATTTTTTGATCAGTTCATATTACATATTTGTTTAGATGGTGTTGTTGTCTATCTTTTGTCATCTATTATATTGTTTGCTACAATTGTTTTCTATTTGAAACCACAATTGAAGTTTTGGTTAATCATTTTCGGGCAAATTGGTTCCCCAGTTAAGACAAAATATTTCTACATGTAAAATGTTATCCATGTTCGGCTTAAAATTAAAGCCCATTAACAACTTCCCCAGTTAAAACATAAAAAATTTCTACATGTAAAATGTTACCCATTTATTGGCTTAAAATTAAAGCACATTAACAATTTACACATTGCGTTGTTTTATTTTTTGTGTCTTACAAGCTGCACAAACTCTTGTAATTTTCTTATGAGAAACACGATGGCCATAAACTCTCTACTTCACAATTTTGTTGTTATTTCAATGCTTGATTTATGTTTGTAAGTTACTAGTACTCAAAAAGATTTTGGTATATCAACCAGAAACGTTATAGAATGATTAGCTTCTAACGACATGGTGAGGAGCACTTTCAGAGTGATAACTTTCGAGTAATTGCCCTTTGTTATTTTTCGTGTAAAAGTTTTGTCCAAAGCATCACTAGAACGGTATTTGACATTATCAACTTGAAATGTTATAGGTGGATAGATCTCTTGAGGCGGATGGTAGTGCACGCAAGACTGATAAATATTTGTTACTCTTTCAGCATTTGATATATCAGCTTGAAAACTGTTGTACATATATTTATCTAGTTATTGCCCTTTGTTGATAAGTCTACATAATTGTGCCAAGATCATAACTCAGAGGCACATTATTCATTAGAAACGATTAAATTTTTGAGCCGCGCCATGACAAAACCAACGTAATGCGTTTGCGACCAGCATGGATCCAGACCAGCCTGGGCCTCTGCGCAGTCTGATCAGGATCCATGCTGTTCGCTATCAGTTTCCCTATTTGTTATAGGATTCGTAAGCGAACAGCATGGATCCTGATCAGACTGCGCGGATGCGCAGGCTGGTCTGGATCCATGCTGGTCGCAAACCCATTATGTTGGTTTTGTCGTAACGCGGCTCATTTTCTTTTTTTTTATAAAGAGCAAATTTTAGTGGTATTACTTTTCATAAATAACTTTAAAGCATGTAAGTTGTTTAACACCAGAAGAAAGGAGTGCTGAATGTAAAATTTTTTTTCACAAAAGTAGCAAAATGTAAACAAAATAATATTTTGACTTCCATTCAAAATACTAAATTACTATATCACTTTATTAATTTTCAAAAAGGATGGTTTAGGTAAGTGGCCAATTAATAATAGCAGGACATACAAAAAAAAGGTTTTAAAAAATAAAATAAAAGCATTTCTTGGGCATAATAGATCTTTAAACGGTGTGTGTGAGATATGAACTTGAAACTTCATGAGTGTTGCAGTGGATTGGGGACACAAGTATAAAACACAAGTATAATAACTCTTTAATATTATACTTTACAAGTTATTGCCAGGTGTTGTTCTTGCATATATTTTTTGTCTAGACAAGAACTCATAGTGTTTTAAGTGGTATTGATTTGAAACTTCATGTCATGATATATACGGCAGGGTTCTAGTAACAGAAATGAACTTGACAAGAATAACAACTTTCCACTTGATAATTTTGAAGTAATGGCACTTAGTTACTTCCGTGCTTACTTTGCGATTTTTATTATTTTTGTCAAAGCTATTAACTCAAAACAGTTATAAGATACCAATGCGAATAGCTCTTAAATACCAACACCAGTTATTTTGTTTGTTTGTTTGTTTCATTTTACGCCTTTTCCAGCAGTATTTCAGTCATATAGGCGGGTAGTCTCCTATCCATCGTTCCTGGAGAGTTACACCAGTACTAGACTACCTTCCTCCGTGCTAAACTACCAAAGCATCTCTCTGGGATCGAACCCACACCAGAGAGGTAACTGGATTAGAAGTCATCGACTCTAACCCTTCGACCACGGAGGCGGTTTTGTACATTTGGAGTTTTTGCCCTTTGATTTATGGGCGCGAACTGACTACACCTTTTGAAATTGTTCTTCCGCGGGGGATTTGGTAGGCTGCGACTGCTTCTTGGTTAACATGTAGCATACTACATTATTTTTATTTCATCGCAGTTTATTTGTTTATTAGAAAGGCTCTTTCATGAAGTTTGCTTTCGGATAACGTTGATGACCTTGTCCTTTAAAGATCTGTGCTACAATAAACTTGACATAATAGTATACATGTACATGTATTTGTTGATCAAAGAGATTACGAAACAAAAACAGAATGGCTGACTTGTTTCAAAAGAGTGTCCTCCATAAAATATCAACAATCTTTACACACCACTATTCTCATTCACACCGCTTTAATATCTTAAGCAAACCTTTATAAGTTTTGTTTCATAATATCTTAAGTCTTCAATTCAAAATTATTTTTGCGTTTGTGATTATTTAATAAAAATAATGCGTTGAATGGATAGACGTACTTTTGTATTTTATTGGTATCAAATTGCCAAATTACACTTAAATGATAGGCCTTAAGTTTAGATATAAAGGCAGATAATAGCTTTTATTTGGTTCTTTGTGTATGCATTTCATTTAGCATTCGTTTGTAAAATTGTTACAATAATTGTATGATCGAACGCGTACACACAGGTGTTTTAATATTTACATTAAAACCAGCACACTTTTATATAAGAGCCAGCTTAATGATATTTTTTAGACAAAATCTAGCCATTTTGTGAATATTAAGCATTTTAGAGCTACAGCAAAACATTCAAACAAATGTTGTAGTGCTGCTCGTGACAATTTCATATATCATGTGATGTACAGAAGAAACGTATGAATCCATTTTGTCTTAAAAGAGATACTCTTAAGGAAACTTCTTTAGCTTTATTCCGCTTCATATCTTAAATGGACTCGACCATTTTGAATCTGGACAAAACCATTCATCACTTTTAGGGAAACTTTCAAAATACACTCAGTACAAAAAGAAACGCAACTTTTTCATTTTTCATTTGTTTAGGTTTATACTAAATTTGGACAAACAATTTTCCCTTTAATATTTTCAATGACATTTTATTGTTAACTTGAGTACAAAACGGCATTATTTTTAACCTCCCTCAATGCAGTTTAACGGCAAACTGTACAAACCACATTTCCACGTGCACACCGTGCTCTATAGTTTACCGATAGTTTCTATACATGTAGCCGTGTAGTGATGAATCGGTACAAATGAAAAACAAGTTTATTTGAACTGTCAGTACTTTATAACCATGCCGCGCCTTGCTGAACATTTGCGGAATCAAGCAATTGGTTTACTTGAAGCTGGTGTTTCGAAGATTGACGTTGCACGGCGATTTAATTGTCATGTTAGCACTATCACTCGTCTACAGAATAGGTACAATGCCTCTGGCAGTGTCAAAGACTTACCAAAATCCGGTCGACCACGAATAACCACTAGGAGACAGGATGTGAATATTCGAGTGGGGCACCTACGTAATCGATTCGAAGCGGCGTCCTCTACAGCTAGACGAACAATAGGTACTCACGGGTAGGTGAAAATAATGCTTTATTTCCGAAATTCTTCCTGTTATCAAATTTTGAGCTGTTCACATTTTGATGAGGTTTGCCCTTTTTGAGACGTTGCGTTACTTTTCAGGCGCAGTATACACGCAAACACAGTTCGAAATCGGCTTAAGGAAGTTGGTTTGAGGTGTAGGAGACCCCTCAAGGCATCACGCCTCACTGCACGTCACAAACGGGATCGACTACGGTGGGCTAGAGTGCACATTAGAATGAACCGTAGATTCTGGAGCAGGGTACTTTTCTCTGACGAAACTAAAATAGTGCTGAGCAGAGCCGATGGTCGTGCACGTGTTTGGAGGCACAGGAACGAGCGTTATGCCGAAGCCTGTATTCAGACTTTTAATCGTTAGGGTGGTGGCTCCATTCACATATGGGCAGGGATGTCACAGTTTGGAAGAACAGATCTTGTAGTGTTCGACCGTAATGTCAATGCTCAGACCTATGTCAATGATGTTGTAGCACCTGTTGTCGTACCGTACATAAACCGTCATTTTCAGGGACATGGGACACTTCAACAGGATAACGCTTGCCCGCACACAGCACGTTTGACTCAAAACTTTCTTGCTCGGAACCACATCAATGTGCTAGACTGGCCTGCAATGTCGCCAGATATGGCGCCTATTGAACACTTATGGGACGAGCTAAAACGTCGCATCAGCCACAGCCCCAGACGGTGCAGGAACTTCGTCGCGTCGCAGTGCAGGGGTGGAATAACATTCCCCAGGCATCCATTGCTATGTTAGTGACCTCTATGCGTCGCCGCTGCCAGGCGCTTATCAATGCTAGGGGTGGACACACAAGGTATTGAAACTGAAATTTTCGTGATCGATAGCGATGTGTTTAAACTGCTGGAACTTTCGTAATTTTGCAGGTATCAATGAAATTGCTGTGTTATTGAATAAAGCATGGATGAAATATTGAAAAGGTATTGAAGTTTTTTCTGCACCACATCCACTATGGGAGATGACCAGTTATATATACAGTTTGCGTTTCTTTTTGAACTGAGTGTATGTTGTTACTGAGAACGACATATTATTCTTATCCGATATCACATAAAGGTCCGAGAAGTTGCGATTGGGTTCTGCATCCGCACTGGTCGAATGTGAAGACTGGAGGCTAAGGTCTAATCAGATTTATAATGTATATCATTTCACAATTTATGTTTTACAAAATATTAAAAACAATCTTACTTGACCCTTCATTCTTTACAACTTAACGATATGAAATTAAAATTGTGGTACATGTAAACCTTGATTTATTAAGGGTTCTATAACTTGTTGTAAAATTTACATTAATACGATCGTATTCCTTACTTTAAGAACAGAAATATTTCATTTCGTGATTATAATTGAAAAAGAAAACAAACGGAACGTAATATTTTCATAACATATCATAATAATGTGTATGTTATAATGTATTCCCAATTTTAAAAGTTTAAAAACATGAGTGAAAAATTTAATGTTAACAAGAAAATATTTTAAACTTAAAAAATTGTGTACATGTATAATTATTTTGTTTCTTTCATATTCTCTCAATGGAGAGATGATTAACCGGGTGGCGGGTTCGTTGCAAAGCCTTTTTTCTTTTTAGCTGGTCTGTTTTGAATAAAAGAGTCGAGCTATTACGATCGCTACGTTGTCGTTGTCGTTGCCGTCATCCATTGTAGCCCATTATTCAGACATTATAAAACTTATCCACATGAAACTTGGCATAGTTGCTGTTTTCAATGTTAAACAAGGGGTATAATTCTGAAGGCAATATATTTGGATTTCTGTCCCTTTTTAACTTAGAATGTTTGTCAAAATTGGTTATTGAAAGTCGTTTCCATCCGTTAATGTCGCTGACTTCAAACCACTTGCCCCTCACCTCTGCGGGTTCAAATCCTGCCAGGGACTTTGGATTCTTTTGTGTGGGGAAGTTAATTTGCGGGACGTCAGTAGTTCTACTCAGGTGTCCGTTCATGCCTGAAATAATGCACGAATTGGCTCCTGAAACCTTCCACTACCAATAAAACTGGAAGGTCGCCATATAACATCTTCTGTATTGTTGCGGCGTACAACCCACCCTCACCCCCACCAAAAATATTCATTTAAAAAAACTTAACAAACGAGCGTTAACACGTCATGCTGTGCTCTTGTTCTCTTGTTGTTTTATTCTATACGCATATCCGTGCGTAAGTATCATACAGCATCAACTTCTGTTTCAATTGACTACTATATGTAGCAATGATTGATTGTTCAGCATGAGAAAGTGGTTTACTTTCCTAAGTCCTATCATTGTTTAAAGGAACTGATTATAGTATTAAATTCCATCGGTATCAATGTCACTTCGGTACAATCCGGTGTCACGTTTCTCTTATACACAGGATGAATTGCATGTCAATGTATATTATTGTAACTAAGATCGAAAAACCGTATGAATCGTAATATAAAACGTGCCCTGTTTTATTGAAAATAAGAACAGTGATGCTCTTATGAGACTTGTAAGATTTTAATACTAATTTCTTAATTGTACGTTATGTGTGGTCAAATATTATAGTAAAATACGATTCTTATTAACAAATATCTAAAAAGACAAACTAAATGGTTATGGAATGTTTAAAGTCCAGGGTACACGTATAACAATGTTGGCGGTCATCCGAAAAGCCAAAACGGTGTATTTGAAGCGCGTGCCATCCTTGTCTATAATTATCATTAATTAATTAGATATAATAATAATAATGATAATAATAATAATAATAATAATGATAATAATAATAATAATAATAAAATTAATAATAATGGTAATGATAATAATAATACTAATAATAATGATGATGTTGATGATGATAATAATAATAATAATAATAATAATAATAATAATATTTATAAAAATAATAATAATAATAATAAGAATAATAATAATAAAGACTTTATTTAACGAGAGAATCTAAACTTAATCTGAAAACCAACTGTTTATTTTCATTGTTGTTGTTGCTTTTTTTGTATGTTTATATATGCTTTCTTATCAATTTTTTCTGACGTTAAAAGCAACAAATAAATATCAGTCCAATTGCAACTTTTCGGCCGTTTTCGTCAAACTTCGGATAAAGATTATTGGTTATCAGTGTATTACTCATGTTGGAATGTTTAAAGCGTTATTGAGATACTTTTTCGAAAAAATCACTTCGATATCTTGTTTGTCATGACTTTCAAATTACATTTAAATGGGCTATAAAATCTATGAATTACAACGGACAAACACCATTTATCAAATGCCATTGCCTCAAGTATAAACACTTCACTTCCTAAATTACCGAAACTATCCGACTTATCTTAAAAACTGAAATATAAATGTAAGATAATGGTACATGTACATGTATTAAACAAGAGCTGTCCAACGACCAGCGCACTCCGCTCTTTTGAATAGTAATACCTAAAGGCGCATAATTCTGAAAAACTGCCTATAAGAATTATCTGCCCATGATAGATTTTTATAAATATAAATTATGTGATGGTTTTTGAGGCATTCACAAAAATATATAAATATTAATGGGAGAAAAATAAACAAAAATGACCTTCAAGAACATTGCCCAAAAGAAGTGCATTCCAATTTTAATAGTGAACAAGTTTGAAATCTTCCATAGTTTCTGAGAAAATGGATCACCGATTTTAGGTCATCGTGATTGACCGTTTGGTATTTAAATTGATGTGTAAAATAGAACTCAACAAAGTACATCAACAAATGAAATTTGGTTGGAATTGACTTTAATGACCACTGACGAAAACTTAACCAAAAAGGTAAACCAACGCTTACGCCGTCGAGTGAGCCATGACAATACTTCCAACTTTTTTTTCTTCGAAAACTGGCCGGGGCTAAAAATGAAAAGAGTTTTTATCCATTGTTAAAATGAAGTCTATCCGTATCTATATATGTAGATGCATAAAAAAGTAGCATCCTTTAATTCTAAATTCTGTATATCAAGCTTCTTGCTGATTTAAATAAAACGCATTGAAAGCGCCAAACGAAAGGTAAATGATTGACTTTTCTTAACAGATTCATCTAGATATATTAAGATGGTTCTCCGAAACATAATTTGGATAGTTCTGTACAGTCGTACAAAGCTCTTTCAATACAGTTCCTCAATACTAGTATTGATATTATTCCATGTAACTTTATAAAATTAATGAAATATAGTTTATGCAAATGTGCAATTAATTAAGAGTTGCGGTCCTTTTTCATTGCACCGTTGCTGCTCAGTTCTCAAATACCAAATAGCGTGCGCTGAACAAGACTATGTTTGATAGTATATATTTTACTTTAGGTTATCTAAAGTCGCCACTAAATCTCACTTTCAATACCGGTTCCAAATTTTAGCCAGCTCGTACCGAAGTGGTATTAGCCTTTCTTGCCAGCATTCTGCAGTCTGACCAGACTCGATACTGTTGGAAGCATAATTTTCCTATTTTGATTCAAAACTTTAATGTTAAAATAGATTGCATGGAAATTCATTGAGCACAATCAGCTAGTTAAGGTTTAATAGTTTTGCTTTTAAAAGAATGGTACGTATGGTATGTATCAAATATACCATTAAACCGCAATGTATAAGCTGGGTTATGATAATAGTAAAAGAACAAGATTTGTATCTGGTCACTTAATCCAATGATACACATTACTGCATCGTATATATCTCTGTTTGTCCTTTTTCAAGGTGTTTTTTATCGAAAAAAATTAAATTTTAATCTTTAACTATTGAGCAATTACTAAGATTAATCTTTCTTTAGTAAATATTTTAGATAGATTTATAAATATTACAAACTGTTTTGGGTTTTTAATAACCCTTTTATTTATGGTATGTTGAAATCAATCTTCCCAAAAATTAAAAAAAAATTAAACTGTTTTATTCCTAAAGTGACGAAAGTATTTAAAAAGCGTGCCCCTGAACCCGAGACCATGTTTTTAAGCCTAACTTGACGTCCTTGTTCCCTTTTTGCAAGCTTAAAGGGGCTCAAAATGATCCGAAAGCAACTATATGTGAATTTTATAAATTTTGGGATTAATTTTTTACTATAAAGGGTCCCCTAATTACTTTTTTATACCTGTATAATTTACAAAAATTTTTTTTAAAGGAAACCTTCAAAAAGCTCTTGGGTAAAAGAATCTTTATTCATCAATACTCTTATCACGAAGTTTGCTTGTATACACAAGTATTTATAATGCTGGTTGAAAAACGGGCCAAGATAACGGAAATGCCCTCTTATGTATAACCATTAATCCGTTTTAACGGGAGCGGTGTTTAAACCCAGCATAGTTTTGATTCAAAATTTAAAAACCAATTAAATATACATTTTTTCGAATTTCATCATGAATTCTCCCAACAAGTGTTTTCTAATTGAAACAACAACAACAACAAAAGTTTTGTATAGTCTACTTAAAGCTGCAAGCCTCCAAATGAGCAAAAATGTTTCAAGAAAATCAAACGTGAGAAAATGAACCATACTAAGATTTTATGAAAAAGTAAAAAAGAAATCAAGATTCAAGCAGAGACTTAAATTTAAGTAATGCTCCGCTCTCCGGTTAATAGCCTGCGCCTGGGTTGCTGATTTAATTGAAAATTTAAATACTTTTTTTCTTTATTAAATAAATTTAATGTTTGCCATTAATGACTGATCTGCATATTATCACCATATTACTACTTTCGTGACTTTGTGCAAGGGTAATTTGCATTTTTGACCTCTATTTAATACATGAAAACTGCAGTGGTCTCGACGGCGCGTTGTTGATTTCAATATAAAAATTTTTTTCCAAAAATTTATATTTTAAGGGTTTTAAAAAAACAATTAATAGATTAATTTTTATAAAAACAACACCTTATAAACCCTGTGTACTTTTTAATTTTCTTTGGATGTTTACATAAAAATTTAATATTATATTTTCTTGGGGGTCATAAATAGAAGAAATAGTCCTTTCTATACAAAGTTATTTTTAAACCCAAAAAAAATAATGTCAAAAAAATCCGCATCTATGCGAGATATGAATCACAAAATTTGACTTAACACATACACGCCAAACTGACGCGTTTAATTTACAATACGGATTTAAGTGCTGCAAGGTAAAAATAGCGCCTTAGATAATCAATACATTTTATATAAACACAAAAAAGCATACCTTATGCATACCTTTTACATTTGAACAGGAAAATATTGCAGTTTAAACGACCAAGCGGTTTTAAGTACTTGTCAAAATATATGACTGTACATGCGTACATGTTTGAAATCTATTTATAGCATGTACGAGTCATACAGGTGTGTTTGACTGTATGACAGTATCGGTAAAATTTACCTGTGCCCCGCTTTAGTGGAGTATTACCTTTGACTTTATTATTGGATTTGATCGGCGGGGGACATATTTTCAAATTGGATTATAATATATTGTGTGAATTGTTTTTCGCTAAAATGTGACGAGTGTTTGTATAGATGGATCTATAATTTTAAATTCGGTGCATACTGATTATTTACCGTATAAGGTATAAAAGTATATGAAGACTTTTGTTTTGATTGGAGGTATTTCAAATTCCAATATGGCGGCCTCGTCAGGTAAAAAGAGGCATAAAAGCACGGGATATATTGTGTTGTTTATATGTTTTCTGTATAATTTAGTGCCATACTGTGACACTTTTAGTCTTATTGGAGACAAAATGACCATAAAGATACCACATACTGCTGAACAGGGATTTCCTGTCCTAAAAACTGACATACCCGAATCTTGTATGGAAGTTGATCATATTCAACGTTCAATATCTGACAGTAATAAACGGCCGTGTAATCCATTTACCATTCTTAAAGACGGCAGTATTGTTATTAAGAGATCTGTACATGACTTTATAGGGGATTTGTTTGTAGTAAAACCCAAATGCGAGGAATACGCATCTGTCTCAGCCAATATAGACATTCTGTTTGTTGAAGTCATACATTCAGACATGAGTTTAAGTTTTACAAAAACCCATTACACAGGTTTGATCAAAGAAAATTCCCCTGTCGGTACAAAAGTGGAAGGAATATCTAATCTATATGCATGTTCTGTAACTGTCTGTAACAACAATTTAGAATACAAAATTGTTGGTTCTAATGATTTTTACCTAGAGACAATATCTTCAGAAGGTCACATCCAACTTGAAATATACAATAAAAATCCACTCCAAACATTTCTGTACAGTTTTATTATAGTTGCTCAAAACGCAGATGGTTTGCAGGGCCGTGCTAGTATTAAGGTTAAGGTCACGCCGGGTTCAAGCGCTGTCTCTTTGCTTTCTGATGACGTCTTGTATTTTTCTTCTGCCTCTGGTCACAGACACAAACGCGCCACTACAGAGACGCTGGCCAAACAGCAAGTGCCTGAAACGTCCACCGGGGTGCTGTTCACACTTCCTGATGTAAACAACGATTGGAAATACACATTGTCCAGTTCTACTTACCAGAATGCCTTCACTGTGTCAGAAACAGGCGTGGTTTCAGTGGCACCGGGTTTCAAACTTGATTTCGAGACTGTCGGTTCGGCTGAGCAGACTCTTACCATCAATGTTCTTCTAAAGACAGACGACTCACGTACGTAAACAATAATGTTTGATTTTATAATGGTTTATTCATATTTAATGTTATTTGTACAGTACATGCTTTAATGAGATCTGTGCCACATTCATATAATGTTCTATGAAATTTTATTTTGTCTTCGCGACTTGACTAAATTAAGCTTGTTAACAGAGAGGTGAATTGTTATATTTCATTGCTTTTCTTCGACAATGATGGGAAAATGTGCCTTGCTGAAAATATATTAATAAACATGTAACTGAGTAAGTAGTAGCGTCCATGGCAGTAAGTTGGCTTTTCCGTAATTGTACCTATGTCCAATTGTAGGTCCAATTCGTACAATGCAGGTTTCACTCTATCCTTAAAAATCATTTAACGTTTTCTAACCACAACCTGGGAGTTTGCAGCATCAGGAATATTGTACCTAAATTCTCAGTTTTTAAAGTCTGCTTATATTTTTGTTCATAGAGCATAAATTCATGTTTTAGAAGCAATATATGCAAGTTCAAAATACCTCCCTCTACATGTATTTCTAATAAATGGTGCAATACTGATTTGAAATATTCCATACCCAATAATTGTAATGATACAATTTTCCTTTGCTTAACAATTAGTCTATTGTCAAGTCGATCATAATTTCAATTCGCCTTTTAAAAATATGGTCTAATTCGAAATTTGAAGTAAACCCACTTAAAATATTCGACATTGCCCAATCCTAATATAGGAGGAATACATGTAGTTATCTTTTATAATTTAGTTTAAGTGGTAAAGTAAATAATAGAATTCAATATAACCAACAGATTAACACACAATTGATACAAAAAATATAATCATTTATAAATTTAGTCAAATTTTGTTAAGTCATGCGCATAAACAATTTTTGAAGTGTATTACCTTTATGAGTCAATCGGAAGAAATTTCAATTACAAGTGCAAACGTAATAAAAATCATGTCCGCTGTGAATGCACTCACAGGAAATGCAACCCAAAGGAAATTAAATACTGAAAACATCTGGAAGGATTATAAAAAGGAAAGTCTTTACTCTTTAGTAAAAAAGTAGTCCCAATATATTTGTTTAAGGCTGTAAGCCCCCGGTATAAAAATTCATAATCAGAAAATTAAGATTTCCGTACAACTTGAAAAAAACATTTATGAACGTGACATTAACAATTCAAATACCAATTTTTCAATTTCATTTTTTAGGTTGAGGGGTCCTTATAAAAAGCTGATGCAAAGTCGTGAATTTGCTTACGCATTACTTTTTATTCAAATTCGTATTTATGTGTAATTTGAAGGGTAGTGAAACATACGTGATGCTGCACATATATAATCATTCACTTTTCATTGTTCAACATTCATTTATATTTTTTGTCCAATGAAAATAGCCAAGATAAAGGAAAAACAGAACTCATGTATTTGAATGAAAAAATAGGTTATTTTTAAGATGCCACAAAGCATAATAAATGTATAAAACATTATTCATTTACATGTATCAATATCTGATATTTATTTCATACTGCATTTCAACAATTAACATAACTGATAAATGTCTTAATATGTTCGACTTTCGGTAAAAAGGAGCAGACAATAAACTATGTATATGATACATAATTCCACACCTTATCAGAACGACAAAAAATGGTTCCTTCAAACATGTGAACATTTCGTTACTTTCAGACTTTTAGTCAGATCTAGTGGCTGGTTAGTTACTAAATACCTCAATATACCAATCTCCCACAATAACTTGACACATGAATAACGCGAGTGCCGATGGCCTAATTTGATTAGTATATATAAGTAGTAAGTACTGAAGAGGGCCTGCCAAGTTTCACACGACATACTAGTACTAGCGTAGTTAGTGTGTATAGTGGTATATATATTCATGAATATTTGATAAGTTATTCATACAACTAGGTCGTTTGTAACACATTACTGGTGAGCCTGAACAATCCATGAAATTGTTATAGTAGATGTCTGCAATATATAGTTACCATTGTGCAACCCAATACAATATTTATTACTAGTATTCTTAAGTAGGCAATATCTGCCGCGTGTTTCTTGTCTATTTTATTCTTTTCATATTGACTGATTTACATTTCAATAATAATTATTGTCAAACCCATGGACACATCTTTTTTTCTAAATTTTTGCTGGTGAAACCATAAACTATTCAAATAGTCATTATTGTATACCATTTTTCGAGGACATGGCACGTAGGTCAACTTGGAGTGTCGATTCTTTAAAGAAGACATAAGTTTCAGCGCAAGATAGACAAGGTACTTGCAATCAAACAAGCACGAAAATACGAGAGTCACTTTGACTTGGTTAGAGACTTAGGACACCAATACCGTAAATTTATGTCATATAGTAGCGACTTTACAGCTTTACTGATGGGGGAACCCGGAAGACGTCATGACGTCGTGTGGACTTATGTTATTTTGTCTACAGCTATAACCATAAGAACATATAAAAAATCAAGACTTTGAAAAAATAGAATATTGTAAATAGAAACACCGTGTCTACTTATGATTCCTTAGCGTTTTGTTTCCGGTGAATTTGCTTTCATTATTATTTTATGATATCTTTATATAATGGCAGACATAAAGCACGACTTTCCACCATTAAAAAAAGATTCGGTAAAAAGAACTGCGTATTACGACACGAAATGTGTGCGTCTAGCCCGAACAAAAGCAAGAATTTAAATACAAAGCCGTTGTAACACAATTGTAATAAATAGCCGTTTTCAAAAGGCAAGCATTATATGACTCCATTTTTTCAATGATAAAGAGATAGAAGTATTATGTATATTTACAAAGCGACTCATGTTTGCAGTATTTATGGAATGTTAAGTTTGTAAATAGCTTGTCGTGTACTGCAGATTAAAAAAAAGTGTGTATAGCAAAAAACGCACGTTTATATTTCCGTGTTTGGTAAGCTATGTCAGAATATTTTTCTGGATTCGTAAGACAAAACAAAACAAAAAAGGGGAAAAAAATAAGCTCATACGCGAACAAACAAATAAGGAGGAAAATTATCTGTACAATTACGTAGAAAAAAGCATGGTTTAAATGGGGGGGGGGGGGTGAAAGAGATTAATTCCAGGTTAAAATAGGCATAAATAGAGCTACCGGAGGTTAATCTTCTTCAAGTCCAGATACTAAGATACTACCACCGTTTACGATTTTAACATTCGTAAAAGTAAGGATTTAACGACATGACAGCACGGTTACATGCATTTTACACTGTTTGATCTATTTTAAGAACCTATAAGCAATTACATGGAATAAAATTTACTTTTGTGTACAAAATAAATTTTATAAAACTACACATTAAGGGTAACCGTATGTTGCCATGTTAATCTAATTCCTAAAAATATTTACACATTTTGAGGTGTTTTTTGTGTGTGTGTGTGTGCGCGTGTGTAATATTTAGTGGCGTGCAACCTTAGCTGAATCTGATAGAGTTACTTCCCCTTTAGTTTTATTACGCCATTTGCAGCAGTGTCTAAACAGGACCATTGACTTCCATGTCTATTTAAACGTATATCACAGTATATAAACGATTTGTTCCCCAACCGGATCTTGTGAGAAGATATCAACATCACATCAGTGCCGTACAAAAAGGCAGGGTGACCCATAAAACTTTTTAAGACGGCTTGCATTTAATCTGTGACGGTATGTAAACATTTGAATCATATTAAGAAATATTTTTTCTTTGCTTATAGATACATCTATAACCAGCTTCTTTAAATTTATGCGCATAAAACGCTGTGCTCTTCGCTTCGTGTTTTGTTTATGTCTACACACGCCTGATTACACAAGCAAATTTATGCCTAAATTTTTTTTATTTCACTATAACTAATATCTGAATCTTAACTTTATTGTCTTACCTCCTGTTACCGCACAGACACTTGTGTAGATATCTTTGAATATTGATAAAAACATAGTAAATAATAGAGGCGAACATTCTGGTAACTGTACCCGTCTTGCTAAAATAATTTTAATGATCTGTACTGCAGTACCCTACTTGTGTTTTCACTGAACCATAACTTGCGAGTTACTTTTGATGATTTTTATTGTTTTTGTCCTATGTTCCAAATTATATCTTGCAGAATATGAAGTTTTTGTGTCACAAGAGCATGACACATCTTTTAGTTCTATATAAGTAACCAATACTGCACATGAATGGGCCTTCATCATGTTTTCACTTTCCATGGAAATAGCAGCATGAAGTAGCTGGCAATACAAATTAGGAAGAAATTTTTGTCTTGACAGGAATTATCAACCAACAAATCTTATCTTTATTCATTTTTCTTTGAAAAGATATAGAGCTAAGATATAACATAAGTACTATACGTTTCTACTAATAAGTCAACGGCATTGTTGTTGGTTTTGACGTGACCGCTGTATAACTTCACATATCAATCCATCCTCACTCTTGCAAGTTTATTTCCATTTATTTTTAAATAGTTTACAGTCTTGCCAGTGTCTAAGATAACTTGTTTAAGTTTTCTTTTCACACAACTTAAAAAGTTTATCATTGGCTATCATAAGTTATCTTAAGTCAAAAGATATATCTAAACCCAGTTCCTTTCTATAAATTGCCATATACATGTATTTCAGATGGATTTGGATGAAGTATTTGTAGTTGAGGGTCTTGACAGTAGCTTTCGTGTAACAAACACTCCCCTGAAAACACAATCTTGACAACATAAATGTGGGATCTGTGGAATAAGTTGACACCAAGTTTAAACTTAAACCCTTCCTCATCTGTACTAAAAAACGTATCTTTGGTCGATGTAAGAACATCTTTAACAGGCGTTTTGATTTTTTGACATTTCTTGATTGGAGATTATTTTTCAAGTCCTTCTTGTCTTGAAATTTTTACTGTTTTTGTAATATCATTTGCTTTTAAAGTCCTTTTTAATTTATTCAGTTCTTTTGGAATAATTCTAAAGTCTTTTGAGTATGATTTTAATGTTTCTGTTATTGTTGTCAAACTGAGAAATGTTATTTTAAGCTTTTGTTCTGATGTCCAAATTATGAACAATAGTGTTTCCGAATTTTTTTTAAGAGAAGGGTGGCAATGAAGACAACTGAATTCTTCCATTTTGCCTGTTAATAAACAAATAAATACGTTAAATAATAAACGTTCTCTCCATTAAATCTTTAAAAATACTCACAAGTCAGGGTACAGATAAAATTCGTAAACTCACAAGTAGGGTTCACAATCACCAGCAAGTAACGTTCAGTTTACGGAATTGACCTCCTTGGTTAAACTCTTAATCTAATGTTCAAAATACAGCAATATTTTTTGCAGATGACTAAATTATCGTTTGTTATTGATTATTTTAGAAGTTCGATATCACAATTCAATGTTTAACTAAATAAACCTTGAAATAAGACGGATTTTTGCTAGTGTTCAGTGTTTATCACCTGAAAGCAGTTCGTGAGTTTCGATTATTTTATAGCTTTAATGCCAACATTTATATTTTGCATAACTTAAACGCTTAATAAAGTTTCTCTTCTACGCTATAAATATAGATTTACTAACCTAACGTCCATAAGTATCAATATAAATACCAATATATTAAACAAGTTGAGCGTCAGAAAATGGCTGACACTGACATCTTCTCACAAGATCCGGTTGGCCTTGGGGTTCAAATCGTTTATATACTGTGGAAACTAGCGTGCTGTGCAAAAGAGAGATCCATCATACGGTAAATTACTGATACATACGGTACCATGCATTATTCTAGATATTAAATGTTTTTACAGAGAATAAAGAACCGTGTGATTGTGACACAGACAGAGGTATAAAATATGTTTAAATATGTACTGTAATGTTAGATCGGCCAAAGTTCATTTTAAACTTTGTTTAAAAGAGATAAATATGGCTAGTTAGAAGCATTTGGTAGTGTGGAGATGCAGGGACTGTTTTTTGCATGTATAAGAGTTTGTGAAAATTTAACCCAAGCAGAATGAAATTTGGGTGATGTACATGTATTACCAATAGATGTTGATTATTAGTTGAATAAAGAGGTTGTAGGAAAGTTTAGCTGTGTGTCAATGTCATGTTGTGTTGATAGTGTGTGTTGATATTGTGTTGGTTTATTTAAAGTGTGAGATAGATGTAAGTTAATTATGGTTAATCATTGAACTTTCACCATTTGCCTCTAATGGTTTTAAGAAACTGGATAGAAATGTTCCATCATTGTTCATTGTTCATAGAAGAATTTCATTCAAAATTGTTAGAAAAAAGTTTGCTAATTCTACTGGCTGCCATTCTACTTATGAAGTGCATTGGAATAATCCATCAATTTTTACATACATCCAAAACAGTTCAAGAAAAATAAGAATTGTCGTGGTCATCTGGTAATGTCTCACATGTACACTTCTCATTTCATTACCCAACAATCATTGCTTACAGCTATTGAGTGATCAGGAGCATAAATCTGAGATGAGCTTATAAATATTATATAATACATAACATAAGAGTGTGATATGACAATATTTCAAGTACACGTAACTATAAAATATGACTTTTAAAACAGTAAGACATTTGTCACGTAAGGGTTCAGAACTTCAGATGCATGATTACTATTAAAATGTCTTCTAGATCCACTAGTGGTAGCTGCAGGAATGTTTATATATATATACATACCTGCATGTGACCTTGCAGGGCCAGCAAAATCTGATTTTGACTTACTTATCCACTTTTTACCTTTGATTTTGACTTACTTATCCACTTTTTACCTGAAGCATTTCTTTATTTATCTGTATGATACTTTATAAATAATAATGAAAATTTTGAAATAAATTTACTTGTTCGTACAGGGCCTTAAGCTGTGGGGCAACCTGGGCAATACTGACAATTGATTTTGCTGCCCCTGCCTAACTAGTGGTTAAATCTGATAATTCTAAGTTCTTAATGCAATAGGGATGTCATCTGACTGTTTTCTTGGGATATGTTAAAATAAGTCATAATTAAGTACTAAAAATGGATATATTTTTTAACATTAAGAATTTAAGATATAACTCTTTTGTTTTATGCAATCAGTATAAAAAATGATCAACATCAATTTAATTAATTAATACACTTATATAAAAATAAACTGTGCAAAATAATTCCAATCCATTTGCATGGAACTGTTTGATTAAGATCTAAAGAAATAAGATCATGGTAAACAATTCAAATGACTACTACATATAATTATACATGTCTAATTGGCTTATTATTATAATGTATACATTAATTATAAACATTGTCAAATTTGAAAGATACTCGTGTGTGAATCATGAACTCTACATGTTTTCTATACTTTTACAGTTGTGAAAGAGCTGATACAACCCATTGAGATACTTGATGTAAATGATGAACCTCCGGTGTTTACAAACATACCAACACCGTTCCTTGCTGCGGTCAGTCTGACAGCTCCAACCGGCACTATTGTATACAGTCTAACAGCATCCGACCCAGATGCTGATGCCCAGCTTAGTCTTGAAGTGTCAACGGCAACAAGTAAGTTACATATTTATAATGTATCAATGCATGTCTAACATTGCAGAACCTTTTAAAATATTTGAAATTCATTCAAAATATTTCTTAGTATTTGTAGCTACATAGCATGCCTGTTGAAGGTATATAACACTAACTATTGGCAAATTATTGTACCTTTAATATAGATATCATATAACATAAGTGTTTCAATAACTGTTGAAGTGTCTTAATGTAACATTGCTTAATTGAATAGTTGATAGATGGGTCTTCTTTCTTTTATCTTTAGATATTCCATATCATTGTTAAAAATGCTATTTTTCTATTTATTTTTTTAACCCAAAATTATTTTTCAGACTTTGCATTTTAACAAGGTTTTTGTCATAATAATGTTCATATATTACAGGTTCAGATGCTGTCAACTATTTTAATGCACAGATACAAGGTAATGTAGCAACTATAACAAGGATTGGTAGTCAGCCATTTACAGAAAATCAAGAATTCAAATACGTTTTTATAGCGACAGACAATGCTGCGCCAAGTGGTACTACACAGAGGAAAACGGCGGAAGTTGAGATACTTGCCGGTTCGAGAAAACCACAATTTATGAAGAACTCGTATGCAATTGATTTTGAGGAAAGAAATCAAGTTAATCAAGTGTGAGTTGTTTTTAGATTAATACAAAATTCAAGAATATTAAATATACTTTAAGAATGATAATTCAGGTACATACTTTTTAGGGGCTTTTTTTGCTGCAGAAAACAAGCAGTAATCAAAAATGTATATTTTTCCCTCCTGCCAATGACAAAATTTTCTTTCTTTTTTAAAAAAAAAAAGAAAAAAAATTAAACTTTTGTATTTGCATTAGTTCTTAATATTTAAAAAAGCAGATTATCCATTGCTTTCATACATGGAGGTTTTATTACTCTTACAATTTAGCTTTTATTTCTCAATCATATATCAGTTTAATTCAATTTTTCCCTGCAGCAAGGATTTGCCACCATTGATTCACCCAATATTTTAACAAATCACTGAAGTGCAGTAATAGGCTTGGGGTTAAAAGACAATGTGTTTATTATTTGTCTATTATAAGTTGAGCATGTTGTGTAGATTTAAATGATTATCATTGAGCTGGAAAAGATCAAATGATATGTTATAATTATTAGAATATACACCATAGGTGAAACAAAATATCTGTATACAGTGTGTCACTGTGACATGAAGTACAAAACTTTAATTGCCTTTGTTTGCCTTTTTTTATCTTCATTATTTATATTGTATTTTTCAGGATAGGGACAGTTGAAGTGTACTCATTCCAACAAAATGCTGTTATATTTTCTGTTCTCGATGCAAACTTGCAGACGTCGGCTATATTTGGTGCAACATCAATCACAGGCACCACTGGCCGTGTTAAGGGTTGTCATATTATTGTTAAAAGGGTCATGGATTATGAAACACCACCTCGATCATTTAACGTAACAATACGAGCAACTGAAGACCAAACGGGCTTGTACAACGATCAAAGCGTAGGTTTTTTAGATCAGTAATTTAATTACTTACATAGGGTCCATTTTGTCAGTGTCTATTCTAGAAGTGGGGATGGAGGGATTCACTCCTATTTTTGAGAATTCACCACTATTTTTTCAGAGGCATGGGGAAAATTTAACATAGGGAAAGAAGGAAAAAGATTAACAAATGTAATAAATTATCATTTTTCGATAAAAATCCCCCCTGTTTTTCAAAACTTAGATTAGACACTGTTTTGTAGGATTTAACTCACTACAGTACTATACCTCTATATGTTATCAGAAATCATGTTCACAAAGAAGAAAAATAATATCTTTTTTTTTTCCAATATTTTACATTTTTCATTCTTGATTGTATATAAATCGGTGCAAAAAGATGAATAAGACGTCTTAAACTGGATTTCGGCGAGTGAAATGGCAAGATTTTAGTATTTTAAACATTCAAGTGCCCTGTATATACCGAAGTTTGGTATTATGTGTGGTGCTCCAACACTTTATTTAGTCACTCGATTTGTATGACATATCTCAAGCTTTCCTTTGATTTGACAAACTTAATAGTAACCTGTTAACTTAGTATATGAACTATAATGAATAAATATTAATGAATATACCTGAGTTTTCAACTTAAAGCTGGTTGTCAAAAAAGTTGGTGATGTTATTTATTGTGTATATCCAGGCTTAACTAATATTGGCAATGGGATGTTATTACATTGTATGCTACATGTATTTCCAGGCTGTTTTAGGAGTGACAACTTTGTTATATTATTTCATGTGTATTAGGAGGGAGACAACTTTGTTTTATTATTTTATGTGTATTTCCAGGCTGAAATCAGAGTAACAGATAATAATGAATTCACCCCAAGATTCAGTGTATCTACATACAGGAGAGAAAATACATTAGAAAACATAGAAATTGGCAGGTCTCTAATAAGAGGTATAGAATTAGTACATTTACACATTATTATTGTTTATTTTAAGGAAAGCTTAGATATAGGAATGATGCGTTGATTTTGTCACATTTTAAGAGCTCACTTCTTAATCTGACAAATATTTTTGGTAAATCTCAATAAAAATCATATCTGTAGACAAATGTGATAAAGCCTGTCATTGGTGAATTTAAATATTTGTTGACCAATGAGATTTTAGAATGTAAACTTGTATTGTCTTGTCATTGGTCATTTTTAAATCTGTATGGAAAATCCACCAATCAAACACTAGGATTTATGAAGTATATACAAGATGATGTTTCAACTTTCAGTAACTGCCTCTGATGAAGATTATAACACGAAACTCACGTTTTCTGTGGATAATGATCACTTCCGTGTGCAAGCAGATAACCCATCTAGTACCCAGATGCCTCAGACAGCTACGATATATGTAAACAAGTATGTTATTTTGTCTGACCTTTTAATGTATATAAAGATTGATTTGCTGTACAAGTTAAGTTATTCAGGAAATATACATGTAGTTACAATTTGATTTTTTGTTTGTTTAATTAATTGTAATTTTTTTCTGTGGATAATGAAATTGAAATGTTTTATTATTATTATTATTATTGCTATTTATGGAAAATATGCCAAAAAAGATAATGTGACAATTGTTAAAAGGAACCATATTAATTATTTTATTCTTAAATTTTTTTATTCTAGATATATTTTATTTTCATTCTTAATTTTTTGTGGTTCATTCTTAAAAGTTTTTTATTCTAGATATATTTTATTTTCATACTAAATTTTATGTTGAATTTTCTTTAACACTTAAAAAAGTCAGAATTGATACAGAATGTGACCATTACACTGATTCAGATTTCATTTTTAAATTTGAATTGCAGGTGGTGAAAGTTCACAGTCAGCTATTTGGGCTATAATTATATTTAATGACTTTTTAGTGGTTCTGTAATGATTTCAATTTTCTGCCTTGTTAGGAAACTTGATTACGACAGAATTAGCCCGAAGAATTACGACTTTAATGTCAAGGTCACGGATGACGGAGAGATACCAAAAACTATGGAAGCTACTGTGAGAATATTTATGACAAACCTAAACGATGAACCACCAGTGTTCCCGGATCCTATGAATGCTGATATAAGATATGATAGTCAAGTTGCAGACAACGTTTACATTGTACAAGCTACAGATGCCGATCAAGGGGACAAAGTGTCATATGCCTTTGTTGAAAGTAAGATTTATATACTAGTAATAAACATGTTTTTGTGTTTTGTTTTAGTGAAATGAACATCTTAACATTTATATTTATTTGGTTTATACAGAATTTATTTTAGTACGATTGTGTAGGAAGCTATAAGCTTATAGACACACTTTCGAATCCGTTCCTGGAACCAACCAGTACTGAGCAATGAGTGTAAAGTTTCTTGCTCAAGGAAACAACGACTTGCCCCTGATGGGGTTTGAACCCATGCGGCTAGCGATCATTAGATTACTAGTCTGACACGTTAACCACTCGGCCATGCCGCCACTTAAATTATATTTATTATAATTATATAATATTATAATCATATTTATTTATTGAGTTGATAGTTGAAAAAAGGAGCAAGGCAACTTGTACAAATAATTTTTTATAAATATTATTTATTTCTGATTAAATCAATCAACCCAAGTGTATTTATTTGGATAAAAGACAAATCTAAGGTGGACATCAACTTTGATATTTTAAGTTCTACAGTCATGAAATTATCAAATTAATAATTTTCTTATCATGATACTTAGCAGTAAACAATGTCATAGTTAATAAGAATAAATAAGTTTTGAATTTTTATTAACAATATTTATTTCTCTTTCTTTTTATTGAATTTTCATTTGGTTATAATGTAGATAACAATTTCCAAAATAAATCTTAATTAATAAGAATAAAATCCCCCTCATTATGAAGATAGGTGATATGTCTTTATAAAGTCTTTACATGAATTATTTTATTTTCTAGCCTACAACAATTTCCAACTAGAAGCATCCACAGGACGTATCACATTGAAACAGGTTATCCCCCCTAATACAGAAAGTTACACACTTCTTGTGAGAGCTACGGATGATGGTGAATGTTGTGGTGGGGTTACTAGATTAACTAGTACTGGAACAGTTAATGTTAACATTCTGACTGACAACCTGTATAGACCAGAGTTTAGAGACTGTTTAACTTACAACCCACAAGTATTGGAGGAAGAAGCCAATGCCTTTGTCATTACGGTATGTACATCAAACTGTTTAAGGCCCATTAAGTCTCAAGATACTACTATTTCTCATATTTCTCAAAAGCTTTTTATTTTTGGTGGTTAAGTAAGGTTGTTAAGTTTGGAAAAGTTTCCAAAAAATTACTCATTGACCATTTAGTTACGCCATCTTTTGCATCTATTACATTATGGCAATTTATTGTGATAGTGATTTAGTATTTTGAATGGTCGAAGTCAAAATACTATTTAATTTTTATTTTGCTACTTTTATCATAAATAAGTTCACATTTAGGACTATTTTTTCAGGTGAAAAATACATTTTCTTAATCAATTATTATAAAATTATTTCGCACATATTTACCCTTTCTACAGAAAGAAAATTGACTAAATCTGATGCTTTAAGTGCAGTTAATCTGTTGTCTTGTCATTAAATATTAATAACTTTAGTAACAAATATCATTCTGAAATAATAAGAGGATATTTTTCGTTTGAGTGAAATATGGAATATATTTTTACGAAACATGATAAAATGCTACATATTTTCACGAGCCGGGAGGGCGAGTGAAAATATGTGGCATTTTATCATGTTGAGTGAAAATATATACCATATTTCACGGAAAACGAAAAAATAACCTTTTTATTTAATTTCATTATCAAAGAAAAATGGTTACGAACCCCCTTGCTTGCTACGCAACTGCAAATGTACAGCGCACAGTAATATAATTATTGTCTTGCTTTGCGCGCGATATTTAGCACTACACTGTGACGTCACGTAAACAATTCTTTAAACGTCTCTACAGTGTTAATGACTGAATTAAAGATATTGGTGTTCAGATTTATTTTCTTAGTTAGACCATTTTCTATCATTCTAGATAGTTTTCAAAACAAAATTAAACAAAAAGTTGTTTTGTATTTATCAGATTTTTCAAACAAAATGGCGAAAGAAGTCCCTTAAAATAAATATGAGTTTTGACTCCGTCCACTTTCATATTTATATTTCATATTTATTTTTAAAAAATATGAAATATATTTGACTGATATAGCACCATATTTCATGGGTAAAATTAAATAATTGTACATATATTAATGTGTCTGTTTTGAAGAAAATGTGGAGCTTTTATGATAGCTGAGTTATCTTTGTCGTGCAAAATCTTTAATGTAGTCCTTTATTCAAACATTTAAAAATTGGTATTATAAAAAAAAGAGTTAATAATGTGATGGCCCTCAATCAGTTTTCATTGGAACTAATAAGTTGTTTTTTCTTTATTTATATAGCTGCTAAATTTAATTTCTTTAATGTTGAATAAATGTTTGAAGGTCACTTCTCCATTATAAAGTTTGATTTAAACTTCTTATCATAGTATCTCTATGTAATTATTTTTATCCTAATTTTTAGTTCAGGAGGCCTAAATATTTGCCATTGTCTATTATACTGTCAAATATGTTGTTGTTCTGTACACTGACTTAACAGTGGAATACGGAAGACACACTTCTAATTATCATTGTAATTATCTGTCAAACAACTTATTTAATGTAAAGAAACAAGTCATTAATCATCACCAAGAAAAAGTTATAAAAAATGATTGAGATTGAAAATGATCTGTGTATGAAAAAGTTATGAAAAGGAAAGTTCATGGAAGCAATATTATAGGGTTCAGGTTAGTGTCTGATTGTCAATATTTTGAATAAATTTACATACTGTATATAAAGATATTTATATACGTAATGAGGAGATTTTATTTTGGTTCTCAGATTACAGCAACAGATGATGACATTGGTTCTAATGGGAGAGTGAGGTATTCAATTCGTGAATCAAACTCTCGGTTCAGAATCAACAGCACTACTGGACAGTTATTCACATCTGAGAAAATTGATCGTGAGGCGCTTGGAGTCAGTAAAACAGTACCTGTGAATGTCATAGCAACGGATGGTGGAAATTTGCAGGGAACCTGTTCTCTTCTTGTGGAAATCTTGGACATCAATGATAACCCACCTGTATTTGTTACTAATTCGTACGATTTAACAGTGGAGAAATCTTTAGCACCAGGTGCAGTTGCAGCACTTGTAGAGGCTACAGATGCAGACAGCAGGAAAAATGGGGAAGTCCAGTACTCGTTCACGTCCGATGGAAACCTTGGCGGTTATTTTAGATTAGATGAACCATCTTACACTGGACAAATTAAACTGAACAAATCCTTACAACAAGTTGACCAAGATACAGTATGTATTAAATAAACTATAGCTATAACCTTTATACTAAAACAGCATCAAGTAAATAACTATTGCAAGATCTTAAATTAGATCAACAAAATTTTATCTACAATTGACATCTTGCGAGATATGTTATTATAAATATTGTTTTTACGTCTTGCCATCTTTTGGAGATCTTTTGTATTAAATCTTAACATTAAATTTTCAGGTCATTACTCTGAAAGTTGAAGCTCGAGATGGAGGAACACCTTCCCTCTCTGCAAACGTCACCGTTACAATCACTGTCACCTCAGATCCGTCACAACTTCCCCCAATCTGGTATGGGGCACCTTACACAGTTACTGTCAACGAATCCATTTTGAGCTCATTCAATATTTTGACATTCACCGCTCAGGCTAGAGGGCAAAGTAACCCAAAGATTTCTTTTAAAGTTGTGGATCAAAACAGTATATTTAGAACTGTGTCAGCATCAGGCTCCACTGAAACAAATCAAACTGGATACCTGCGACTACGACCTGGAAACACTTTAGACTTTGAAACAACAGAATCCTACTCCCTGACACTGAGAGCTTCTGTAAGTTGTTTATGGATAAAGAGTAACAAAATGTTGTTTATAGATAAAGAGTAGCTATAAGTCATTTATAGATAAAGAGTAGCTAAATGTCATTTTAGATAAAGAGTAGCTAAATGTCATTTATAGATAAAGAGTAGCTAAATGTCATTTATAGATAAAGAGTAGCTAAATGTCATTTATTGATAAAGAGTAGCTAAATGTCATTTATAGATAAAGAGTAGCTAAATGTCATTTATAGATAAAGAGTAGCTAAATGTCATTTATAGATAAAGAGTAGCTAAATGTCATTTATAGATAAAGAGTAGCTAAATGTCATTTATAGATAAAGAGTAGCTAAATGTCATTTAAAGATAAAGTGCCTTAATGTCATTTTAAGATAGAGTAGCTAAATGTCATGTATAGATAAAGAGCAACTGTGTTATTTATAGATAAAGACCAACTATAAAGTATTTATACATTAAGAGAAACGATAAGTGATTTATAGATATTAATATAGCTTCTATACTTGTAGGTATTTTTTACAAGAAGAGCGTATGAAAACCACTGATGGAAAGTGAGGAAATGAAAATGATTTATTGTAAAATATAGCCTATTATAAACTATTATATGAAATTCATCTTGAACATGTTTAGGATAATTTTAAAGTCATACTTCATGTAGTTTGATAACAATAGTTGTAAGCACTTTGATTGAAACAAAAATTTATTGATTAAATGGTTTCTTTTCCGCAGGATGTGAGCAGTATATATTCGGACAAACGTGTGACAATCACTGTCACTGACACAAACGATAACATTCCGATGTTTGTGGGTACCAATCCAGAAACCGGCTTTCTGGATTTAAGTCTTCTTGAAGGAGACTATACACAGACAAGAAAAGAAGTTGGTCAGATTCGAGCAATTGATAACGACAGAAACCCTCCAAATAATAGGGTAATTTTCAAATTATTTAAGCTTGCACTCATAATGGTTCTATTTAAATTAAAAAAAGATGAAAAAAAATGAAAAAAAAATTGAGGAAAAGGAAAAAAAATCAGTTTTTTCTGAAGAAGACTAAATGTGGAAAGATAAGAAAAGAAACTGTTTATATTGAATTGATTATATTTAGATTTAAACAAGGTCATATCACTCTAGCGTCTAAAAGAACATACTATGTGTTTAATACATAACAGCTCTGTCATCATTAATTTGTTCCAAGATGTTGACTAGACTGAGTAGAGAATAGTTTCAATAAGCTTCTAGTTTTCATAATAAGCTAAAATAAAAGTGTGCAAGTTTTATATTCCTGATGAAGGTACAGTAGTACCGAAACTAGTAGAATCTTTCAGAAAATAAGTTAAATAGACCCAGTGTTTTTGTAAGGTAGTTCCTGTTTCAATAGTTTATATTCACTGGTGATTAGGAAAATGTTTTTATCTTCCATTTTTTAAGCAGACTCTTATTAATACCATGAGTATAGTTGTGTGTGTTGTTTTTTTTCTTTGACTTTTATTGTCAGCTTAAAGTCTGTATTTTTACACATACTATAAAATGCAATTACTATAATTATATATATATTTTTAATTTCAGATTGTAGGATATCGTATTGTCAGTCCAAATCCTCTGTTCACAATAGACAGCGATAATGGTATGGTGTATACACAACAAGAATTTGATCGTGAAGACCCCAACTATATATTTACTATTGAGGTGGAAGCCATTGACGGGGCCCCGTCTGCATTTCCAGAATTGAATAACAACCCTAACACAGGTAGATAAATAAAATAGAATATGAAATATATATACATTCTTGTTTTCATGGTTTTAAAAAGCATGCTCAATGTAATACCTTTAAGGTATTATTGTATATTATATGATATGGTTTTAACGTAAAATTTTCTTGAGAAACGTGTACATCAACAAACATCATTCTGTGATTCAAATATTCCATCTACGGCAACAGTATTTTGCTCTTTTTTCAACTGATCTCTCTGTGAAGTCAGCTGCTGTGATTATAAGGATTTCAGTTTTACTGTTAAACACAATTACATTTTGTTTAAAGGTGTGGTCACTGTGAAAATAACTATCGAAGATGTTAATGATAATCCCCCGTCATTCCCGCAGAATAGTTATACCTTTGAAGTACCGGAAGATCTACCTATTGGTGACCGACTTCCAAACAATGCCAAGGTTACAGCCACAGACCCGGATTCTGGTAATCTTTTTTATTATTATATGGTTTTTATGACTTTTCAGCAAAGAAACAGTTTTTTTTTTCGACTTTCTTTATGTGAGAAAATTATTAGTTCAGTTAAAGATGTTGTAGCTCGTCCTTGAGTAAAGTATTTTTATCACAGAAGTTTATTGAAATCTATGAAATTCTAATTGAATATGTCTAATTTGAATAAATGAATGAATAAACTTTGTATGGGAAGCTGTGTTCCCTATTACAGGACAAGTAAAGTTGTTCTTTTCTTAAAAAAAACTGCCAGTTTTTTTTTTAGCTCACCTTGCACAAAGTGCAGGTGAGCTTTTAGGATGGCCAACCAAATGGCGTCCGTCGTCTGTCGTCCGTCCACATTTTAAATATTCTAAGGACATCTTCTATGATACCGCAAGGCCAATGTTAATGAAACTTGGCAGGAATACTCTTTGTATGAAGCTCTATCAAGATTGTTCAAAGAATTCCATTTCATGCAGAACTCTGGTTGCCATGGCAACCGAAAGAAAAATCTTTAAATATCTTCTTTTAAAGAACCGTAAGAGCTAGAGCTTAGATATTTGGCATGAAACATCTTCTAATGAGTGTCTACCAAGTTTGTTCAAATAAAAGCCCTAGGGTCAAAATTGGCCCGGCCCCAGGGGATCATTGATTTTCCCTATATGCATATAGTAAAAACTTAAAAAATCTTCTTTTAAAGAACCCAAAGAGCTAGAGCTAAGATATTTGGCATGAAATATCTTCTAGAGAGTGTCTTCAAAGTTTGTTCAAATAAAAGCCCTGGGGTCAAAATTGGCCCGGGCCCGGGGGGTCATTGATTTTCCCTATATGCATATTGTAAAAACTTAAAAAATCTTCTTTTAAAGAACTGTAAAAGCTAGAGCTTAGATATTTGGCATGAAACATCTTCTAGTGAATGTCTACCAAGTTTGTTCAAATAAAAGCCCTGGGGTCAAAATTGGCCCCGCCCTAGGGGGTCATTGATTTTCCCTATATGCATATAGTAAAAACTTAAAAAATCTTCTTTTAAAGAACCCAAAGAGCTAGAGCTAAGATATTTAGCATGAAACATCTTCTAATGAGTGTCTACCAAGTTTGTTCAAATAAAAGCCCTGAGGTCAAAATTGGCCTTGCCCCGGGGGGTCATAGATTTTCCCTATATGCATATAGTAAAAACTTAAAAAATCTTCTTTTAAAGAACCCAAAGAGCTAGAGCTAAGATATTTGACATGAAATATCTTCTAGTGAGTGTCTACCAAGTTTGTTCAAATAAAAGCCCTGGGGTCAAAATTGGCCCCGCCCCGGGGGGTCATTGATTTTCCCTATATGCATATAGTAAAAACTTAAAAAATCTTCTTTTAAAGAACCGTAAGAGCTAGAGCTAAGATATTTGACATGAAACATCTTCTAATGAGTGTCTACCAAGTTTGTTCAAATAAAAGCCCTGGGGTCAAAACTGGCCCGCCCCGGGGGTCTTTGATTTTCCTTATATGTGTATAGCAAAAACTTAAAAATCTTCTTTGAAAAACCCAAATAGCTCGAGTTTAGATATTATACATGAAACATTTTTAAATAAATATCTACAAAGTTTGTTCAAATAAAAGCCCGGGGGTCAAAACTGGCCCTGCCCCAGGGGTGTCATTGTTTTTAACTATATGTGTATAGTAGAAACTTAAAAAATCTTCTTTTAAAAAACCCAATGAGCTAGAACTTAGATGTTTAGCATGAAACATGTTCTTATGGGTGTCTACCAAGTCTGTTCAAATAAAAGCCCTTGGGTAAAAATTGGCCCGGGGGGGGGGGGGGGTTAAACTTCCAGGGATGAACAACCTTAATGTGTAAATGGTAGTAAAGGACGGAATTTTTGCTGCGACCAAATTTAACAGAATTATAGCCCTTTGTTAATTTTTTCACTATATACCATATAGCAATTTTGTGAATGCAACTCCTCTTAAACCGGATGGCAGATTTTGCTTAAACTTACAGGGATGAACGCTGCTTTAATGTGTAGATGGTAGTAAAGGAAGGAATTTTTGCTGTGACCAAATTTAACAGAATTATGGCCCTTTGTTGATTTTTTCACTATATACCACATAAAAATCTTACATACAGATATGCATGCTCTTGTTTACGAGCAGTGACATCTGCACAGTGGGGGCATCCGTGTCCTTTGGACACAGTTCTAGTTTGTTTTAATAGTCAGAGGAAAGTGATATATTTTCTGTTTTGTTTTAAAATAGTGTGAGCAGTATAGATATATAATTGTTGTTTTTCAGCTGCTGTGTTGACGTATTCTGTTAGTCCATTACCATCATCAAATCTACCGCCACCTTTCTCAATACAAGCACAAACAGGACATTTGACTGTGGCTGGATCACTAGACTTTGACAAAGGACCTACGGTAAAATAGTCACTTTCTGTTATGAGTTAAAATAATTAAGCATGTTTGATACAGTACTGTTAGGTCTATTGGCCATGGACCATTTGCACTTGCTTTTTCTACGACAACTCATCAGTGAAAATCATTCAGATTGTTTTCATAATTGTTTTCCCTTAAATCTGGAGATTTGCAGCTTATTACCTGAAGTAAATGAGGAAATGTGTTCCCAGCAGCACTGAAAATAAATCATTTTCAAGGAACTCTTGTTAAAAAAGAAGAAGAATTAAATAACATTTGATTGGTTTTTTTTAGCATAGTGCCTCTATGAAGTAAGGGAAGTAACTTATGATATAAACAGTGCAAATGCAAAATCAAGAGTTGTGTCTCTTGAATAATTGCTATAGAAACAAACAAAAAAGATCCAATGCAGTAAAATGTATCATCACTATACATCAAAATTGAATTTTCAGGTAAATGTAGCATTTTAGGGAATTGATTGATGCAATAAAAGATAATCATATGTAAATGTTTTTTTGTTTTTGTTTTCAGTTTCAACAATACGAGTTTATTGTAAACGTGTTTGACTCGATTTATTCAAGCACTACCACTGTCACTATACATGTTACAAATGTCAATGACAACTCACCTGTGGTTGGAAACTACAATTTTGTCGACTTTACAGAAGAAGATCCTTCTGTAATTGGTCCCATTGCCACAGTAAGTTGTCTGCTTTTGCTTTTGTTGTTGATTATTTATCTTCATATTTTTTTTGGACCATGGTGTTACTTACAATATTTAGTTTGTTTCATGTAGGATTTATCTTTGATGTCTTAAGAAAAAAATGATTTGATTAGATTTTTTTTTTTTACATTAATTTTGCTTTTTTGGGGGGTTGGCTCTTTTATATGCATTTTTAAAGAGTTTGTGTAAGTCATAAGTAGCTTCATTTTTGCCGAAGTTATCTGAGCATCTGGGCAGTCTGATCAGGATCCTTGCTGTTCGCTTACCAACCCTATTACAAGTAGAGAAACTGATAGCGCAGGTTGGTCTGGATCCATGCTGGTCGCAAAAACACTATGTTGGTTTTGTCGTGACGCAGCTCATTTTATGAATTAAATAGAAAATTCAGAGAGGTAGGAACTTGAATATTATATTCTTTCTTTTCAGGTAAATGCCACCGATGTAGATGGTGATATAGATGGAGATGGATTTGTACGATTCTGGTATGAATTGAAGTTTACAGACGAGAAAGACAAACAATATTTTGCGATCGATAGATCCTCCGGAGTTTTGTCGATAATAAAGGCTCTTGACCGAGACCTGCCAAATGGTAATGCTGAATTTATATTTACGGTAGAAGTTGCTGATGAGGACCCGGATAACCCGTCAAACACGCCACGTTACGGTTTCGGAGAAGTTGTAGTGAAACCTATTGATATAAATGACAATGCTCCAATGTTCCCGCCTGATGCTCTACAAATGACTGTCATGGAAAATCAACTTGCAGGTATAATTCTTTTTATGTTATTTCTATTTGTACATGCACTGTGTTATCCAGTGGTTTCAATAACAACTGATACATGTTCTGTGCATGAAATTATCATGTTTATAAATCCCCTCAGCCCGTTTTCTTTTTTCTGACTTTATTTTGTCATCACTGCTATGAAATATGTAATGTTAAGTGACTGTCATCCATTTAATTACAACAGCATAGTTTTAGACATGTCCTTTGGACAAAGCACCTGCTTCTGTTTTTGTTTTTTTGTGTGTGTGCATTTTTTATCAATTTTAGACATTTAACACCTGGTAAAATTTTCAATTTTACAAATCTTTATCGATTATCTACAGAAAAATATTAACATTACATGAATATAGTTTCCATCCATGACAGCTCCTTTTTTAACTTTAATTGTCTCAAAGCTCATGGACAATATATAGGTATGTTTTAGTCTGGATTTCCTGGATTTGAATCTGGAAAGAATTAAATTTCTATTTTTCTTCCTGAAAACAGATACCTTTGTTGGTAGAGTGGAAGTTATTGACTATGATGAAGGTTTGAATGCTGAGTATGATTTAGAAATCCGAATGCAGACACCAGACCCCATGGTGAGACTACAAGGACTTGATCTGAAAACAACAAAAGAACTTGATCGAGAGACTATTGATAAATACTTTATTACAATGCAAGCAAGAGATAGAGGTCCTGGGAATAATGTTGGTACGGCAACTGTAACTATCACCGTTGGAGATCAGAATGATAACGAACCATTCTTCAACCAATCATACTCCTTCATGCTGTCAGAACATCAGACGTCTGGTAATTAAGTTTTTATCTCTTAGTTTATACTATTGTAATTGAGCATATAGCCTGATGTTTACAGAGGATATTAAATCAGTGTAATCATATACGAGCTTCTGGCCAGCACATGTTATTGAACAAGTTTAGTAAATTCAGTAATGAAATGACACCAATTTAATATTTCTATTCATCACATACCCAAAATAAAGACCATTTAAAGTGAAAACGAAACATTTTTCATTGACTCGCATATAGTGTATTTGCTAGCAGTCAGGTTGTCTTTACACTGTTTGTATAACAAATAAATATCATATGGCATCACATCAAAATATAATCTTGGTTGTGCAATTTCTTAACCCCCTTAATTGTGATAGCTACAATGTACTCTTCAAAACATCCAAATATACAGTGCTGCCCATGCATAATTGTTATTGTTAATGTGTGTTTGTTTGCAGGGAGTATTTGAAGCAAAATTGCAGCATAAGACCAATAAATAAATGTGCTATGAAGATTTCAGGTTTCTGTTGAATATTACATAATAATATTGAAATATTTATAAGTAAATAAAAATGTAATATACTTATGTATACAGTTTTGTGGGTAAGGCTCCCACGATTACACGTTTAAACAGATTCGTTTCGATTTCCATTCATAAACGTTTACGATAACTTTTACCGTTTAATCGAAATGACCATATTGCCTACAAAATTTCTTAATCATTGCCTTTTATCATGGATTTTATCAATTCTAGTGGTTTATTCCAAAGTAAAAAACGGAAAATGGGTGTTTACAACCCTCCACCCAGCATTACGAGGCAAAAATTGCTTCTGACATAATACATTTTTAGTAAAAAAAGTGGATATAATGCAGAAAATGTGTGCTGACTCAATTGTGATGAGCCGTGAACATTCTTTATTTGTACATGTATTAAAAATAGAAAGTAAGTCATCATTTGGCGACTTAAATGCATGGTATATATAGTACATAGAGGTACCACCGTTTAAACGGTATCGCTTCGGTTCTTAGCAGTCGTGAAAAATGTTTACAAAAAAATTGTAAACATGGGAGCCTTATTTGTGGGGTTTTAAAATTTTCTTAACATTTCAGGTGAATTTGGCAGGATTAAAGCCTATGACAAAGATATTGGACCAAATGCAGTCCTCACATATACACTGTCAAACAAAGATACGGTGTATTTTAGAATGGACAAGGATGAAGCTCAGAATGAAGGGGTTCTCAAAGTGTACCAGGTCAAGTTGAAACATATTTATGTTTTATAACTTCCTATTCTAATGAAACTAAAAATTTTCCAGTTAAATGTTTTAAAACTTGAAATGAAGAATTGTCTAAAACAAGATTTGGAGTAATTATGAAATACTGCTGTAACAATTTAATGACAGCAATTTTAAACAGGTGAAACATGTTTGATTATAGTCAAAAAATAACATGATAATATGGAATAATGTAATTAAAATTATGACAAATTATGACAAGTAATTCCTACATCCATACCCTCTGCACTCTTCCCTGATACTCTTGTCTTTCCTATGTTATTTAATGAAATACGAAGGAACAGTATCATTGTGTATTAGACAAATATGGCAGTATTTTGACAATCATGTGACCTCTTTTTATACACAGGCGGTAGACTATGATGACCTTAATAACTTGCAGCGCAACTTTAATCTAACTGCATATGCCGTGGATCCAGATCCGGGAATCAACAATGAAAAGAGGGCGCAGACGTATATTGAAGTTATTGTGACCGATTACAATGACGAAGTCCCGACATTTCAGAATCCTAAACAGCAGACATCGGTGGCAGAAGATGCTGGCATTGGAACATCTTTGGCAAGATTCACAGCAACTGACCGGGATGTTGATGAAAACTACAAGAAGTTTGAGTAAGTGCTGAAACTTTTACACAAAGCCTTTTTAGCTTGACTATTAAAATAATACAGAGACCTTTTGTTCTCATCCAGATGTTGGCATCACACTTTGGTTTACTTTTTGCATGCAAGTTGGTATCTTGAAAACTACTGAAGGGAATGGGTTGAATTTCACACACTTATTTGGGAGAATCATAGGAGGTCACTGTCAAGGCCCATAAGTTTATATTGATTTTGACAGAATTATAGCTCTTTTTTCAATTTAGAAAATTCTACATTATCAAGGCCCTTGTTTTACTATCAAGCACTGAGAATTGTTGATCACACTGTCTTACTGACCGCTGGTATGTTTCAATTTTATTTGTCTCAGCATATTTAACCTTTATCCTGCCTATTGTGTGTTATGGCCTTGCATTGCTTTGAAAATGGAACCATCTGTTTGTTTTACTGATAGGTTTTGATTTTACTGTAGGTTGGGTTGATTTTACTGTAGGTTGGGTTGATTTTACTTATAATATTATGTTGGGTTAATTTCACTTATAGGTAAGGTTGATTTTACTAATAGGTTGGGTTAATTTCACTTATAGGTTAGGTTGATTTTACTAATAGGTTGGGTTGATTTTACTTATAGGTTGGGTTGATTTTACTTATAGGTTGGATTGATTTTACTTATAGGTTGGATTGATGTTACTTATAGGTTGGATTGATGTTACTTATAGGTTGGGTTGATGTTACTTATAGGTTGGGTTGATGTTACTCATAGGTTGGGTTGATTTTACTTATAGGTTTTGATTTTACTTACAATATTATGTTGGGTTAATTTCACTTATAGGTTAGGTTGATTTTACTTATAGGTTGGGTTCATGTTACTTATAGGTTGGGTTGATTTTACTTATAGGTTGGATTGATTTTACTCATAGGTTGGGTTGATTTTACTTATAATATTATGTTGGGTTAATTTCACTTATAGGTAAGGTTGATTTTACTAATAGGTTGGGTTAATTTCACTTATAGGTAAGGTTGATTTTACTAATAGGTTGGGTTAATTTCACTTATAGGTTAGGTTGATTTTACTAATAGGTTGGGTTGATTTTACTTATAGGTTGGGTTGATTTTACTTATAGGTTGGGTTGATGTTACTTATAGGTTGGGTTGATGTTACTTATAGGTTGGATTGATTTTACTCATAGGTTGGGTTGATTTTACTTATAGGTTGGGTTGATTTTACTCATAGGTTGGGTTGATTTTACTCATAGGTTGGGTTGATTTTACTTTCAGGTATTACATTTCACGTAAAGCTGACTCCGATCCTACTAGAAGGTTTACTATTGACCAGGATGGACTCGTATCAATCTTAAATCCCCTTGACAGAGAAACTGTTGCCGTTCACACAGTGAAAATCCTCGCCATAGATAATATTGCAGGTGAGATTTAAATATTGTTTCTTGAACATTTCATCATGATAGTTTCCTATAGGTGGCCAGTCAAGAAATACATGTTACAAATGAACCTAACCTCAAAAATATTTCAGATATTGATCCAATTCTGTCTACACATATTTACAATCCAAAGTGGTGAAAGGGTTTATGGGACATGGTCTGACCTATGGAATGTCCATGCTTCTGCTCAGGTGCCCGTTTGTGCCTGAAAAAATGAAGAAAGTGGTAGAGGTTGCCATATGAAAAAGTAGGTACATTGTACGATTTATAATTGTTGCATAATTTTCTTCATTTCAATACAGGATCACCACAGAATACAGGAACAGCAACTCTAACAGTCACTGTGACAGACATTAACGATAACTGTCCCGACTTTGCCCAAGATTATTCGAAGACTGTTTCCATAATGGAAAATCAAGAATTTAACAATGATGAATTGGTGATACTTTCTGCAAAAGACGCAGATGAAGACAGCAACAGTGGACCGTATTCTTATGAACTGAGATGTCCCAATAATGATCCAAGATGTGCTCAGTTCAGATTGGAGTCTGATTCTAGTATGTATATTAATTTGATTGATTTTGGTTTCTAGATTATTTTAAGTAGCAAGAATTATACTTTCATCAATTGTGTTAGAAATGTTGTTTCATTGTGCATATTTTCTTTTTTTGATTTAAATCTCATCACAACATATAAAATTCTTTATAGTTCAACTGTTCATTGACCCATACCAATTGGAATAAAGTTATAAAAGTTATGAATGTAATTTAGTGCTGAAGTTTCAATTCTTGCCAATGTACTTGATGATGCCTGGAGGTGACTGGTCATGAACAAAACTAAAATAGTAAAGATATTGTTTTATAAATTATTGTTAAAAACATATTGTTTTATAAATTATTGTTAAAAACTTTGCTAATTTTAACCTCTATCTTGTTCAAGATTGGAAGATAAACATATTTTAGTGCATGTGTTACAATGCCAGAATTAACCAGCTATGATTTATCTGAATATTTCATGAAATTAGATAATAATGTATTTTTGAAATGAAAGTACTGGAACTATTTTTTCGAGACTTTGGCAGGACTAAACTAATAACTTGTGTGCAAAAATTTCAGTTTATTTCCTCATTTTGTTCTCCCAAGATAATTTTTTGTATTATGCAAAATGACTAAAAGATAAATAGGTTTGCAAGGCGTATCACACAAACTAGGCTAAAATTCATGAAAAAAAAAAAGAAAAAGATTTTAATTAAACTCTGGTGTATTTCTTTATTTTCTATGAAAGTTTTTAAAATTTAATATATTTTGGCTTTGTGACCACCAACTCCTTTAATACTGTATTTTGTACGTTGAAGTGTAATAGATATTATAATTGGTATATTTTTGTTTTGTTTTCAGCTGGAGATAATAGTCAAGGTACAGCAAAAATATATGTGACTGGATCATTTGACAGGGAAGATGAGCGTGGAGGGAAGACAGTTACCTTGCCTATCTATATGTGTGATGTGGCTAATACAGGGCGTGCAGATCAGCAATGTTGTATCCGGTACCTACACGTAACCATACAGGACAAAAACGATAATAAACATGAAGACGGGTACCAAAACATCATTGTGTACAACTATAAAGGTAATAGAGTAACAATGTTACCATAATAAGCAATCAAACCTGTACATTGTGTATTTAAGACAGCATCTTGATATTGACATTGTATTTAGAAATCTTATACATCTTATTACATGCTTACTACATATCTAGCATTTTACATAAAATATTTGAGCCGCGTCACAACAAAACCAACATAATGCGTTTGCAACCAGCATGGATCCAGACCAGCCTGCGCATCCGCACAGTCTAATCAGGCTTACCAAGTCTATTGCAAGTAGAGAAACTGATAGCGAACAGCATGGATCCTGATCAGACTGCACGGATAAGGCTGGTCTGATACATGCTGGTCGCAAACGCATTATGTTGGTTTTGTCATGACGTGGCTCATTTTATCACTTGTAGATAAGATTCATATAATAGTCCTGTCACCTGGGACATTATATAGACAAGCAACTTCTGACCAGATAAAAAGTCTTATGTTAGTATCCAATTTGAAGTTGATTGATTGAGAAGGATATTTTTTTTATAATGTTGCAGGGCTGATCTCCAGATGTTTGTCCCATTATATGTGCCAGTGTCAACTAGGGCAAAGTATTCTGTCCCATACTCTTCTTTGTAAAGTCATGTTGATTCTGTAAAATGAGTAATAGGAGAAAGATCAAGCCAGAGTCAAGTCTGTATTTCTTTAGTAATGAAGAATTGTAAGTCAACAGATATGTTTTACTCTGAGCTTGATCTTTTTTAGTTAGATAGGCCAGTCGTTATAGCAAATAGGAATTCATTAGGTAAAAACTTTTGAAGAAATTTCATATATTGTTTTTCATGTTAATTTAAGGTTTGTTTGGTGACATTGTGATTGGGACAGTTAATGCCAATGATCCTGATGACATGGACACTGATAAAACATTTACACTTCTCAACGAACAAGTCGCAGGATACTTTGTCTCGTAAGTTACTTTTTGTGTGTGTGTTTTTTTTAGTTTTTGTTGTTGTTTGGTTGGGTTGTAACCCTTAACCAGCCGAGACCAAAGTGGCTAGCTTTACCACCAGTATAGAGCCGCGTCAGCCTGGATACCAATACAGTCTGACACACGTCAGCCTGGATACCAATACAGTCTGACACACATCTACCGGATACCAATACAGTCTGACACACATCACCTGGATACCAATACAGTCTGACACACGTCACCCGGATACCAATACAGTCTGACACACGTCACCCGGATACCAATACAGTCTGACACACATCTACCGGATACCAATACAGTCTGACACACATCACCCGGATACACACATCACCCGGATACCAATACAGTCTGACACACATCTACCGGATACCAATACAGTCTGACACACATCACCCGGATACCAATACAGTCTGACACACATCACCCGGATACCAATACAGTCTGACAATACACTTTACTGTTGGTAGCTAAGTTTGTATATTTTTAAAATTGAAATTTAAATGGACTGTTCTAGAGTGAAAGCAGGGCAGATCCATTACACAAATACAACAGGTTAAGGTTTGAAATTGTACAGTTTGTCACATGACAAATTTTGAGGTGACAGATTGTGCATGCCTTTTGACAGAAATGAATGAAAGGTGCTTTTATATCTTTATTTGTAAGTAAGTCCAGAAAAAGAAAACATAATGATGGTTTTTAGTTTGGAATGTAACCTGATTATTATCTGGAATTTAAAAATAATAACAACAGTTTCTACCAACTGGCCATCCTGTTTAATACAATGTTGGATTTGACTGTCTAGTTCATGATTTTGTACAAAAATCTAGGTAGGTGTACTCTTTTTGTACAAAACTTAAAATTATCAAAGAGATAATATTAGAATACAGACATGACATTTAAAATATTAATCATGTTTTTTCTTGTAGAATCGGTGAGACAACAGGAGAGATTATACTGAAACCAAAGGTTCCTGAAATGACGTTTGATGTCATGGTTAAAGTACAAGATCAAACTGGCCGATCCAGAACATCAACAGTGAAGATTCATGTTGTATACATTAGTGAAGATGCTGTGTTTAATTCTGGCTCTATAAGAATAAATGGTAATTGAGCCGAGCTACAACAAAACCAACATAATGGGTTTGTGACCAGCATGGATCCAGACCAGCCTGCGCATCCGCGCAGTCTGATCAGGATCCATGCTGTTCGCTATCAGTTTCTCTACTTGTAATAGAGTTGGTAAGCGAACAGCATGGATCCTGACCAGACTGCACGGATGCGCAGGCTGGTCTGGATCCATGCTGGTCGCAAATCCATTATGTTGGTTTTGTCGTGACGCGGCTCAATTTTGTTTTATAGTTGTACTGTGTTTAATTCTTGCTTGTTTGAAACAAATGGTATTGTAAGAAAATCATTATTATTTGTGGGGCACTAATGTATTTTGGCATAAATGGATATTTATCTTCAAATTGCCAAAAATAACATAATAACTATGTTTGAGATTAAAATTATAAAATGAATTGTAAGTTATGCATTCAATTTCATTGATTTTTTTCCCCAAAAAGTGAACCACATTTTGTTTGCATCATGCTGTTCATTCTTTATTGTTTTAATGAATTTCTAGTGGTATAAGAAACTAACATAAAAAATGGATAATTTTTCTTAGTTTCAGTTAAAACTTTTCAATGAACCACATGTTTAATCACAAAACATTAAATTCTGTCTGGCATATCTTAATTCAAACCAAAGGCAAAATCTTTTGCAGGATAATCTTTCCTGTTCAGCACAAAAGCCATCTTTCTCAAGGTCAGACAAACATATTTATTTTACAATTATAATGTGATTTTCCAGGAATCAGCCCAGAAGATTTTATATACAAGCCTCCATTTGACTCGAAGAAAGGGGCACAAGCGTCGGTATTTCAACAAAGTATGCTGGAAAAATTCCAGGAAAAACTGGCGGAGAAATTATATGGTCCAAACCAGAATGATATAAGACAAAACCTACACAATGTACAGATAGTGAGTGTAATGGGTGATGACACACATACGGACGTACGATTTGCAGCCCACGGGTCACCATATTATCAAAGCAGCCGCCTTGACGGGCTTGTTACTGCTGATAAAGCTGAGGTAATGGTTTATTTTTCTGTAGAAATAATAGGTTAGGTGTACATTTTCAATTTAATAACTTAAAAGTAAAGAAAAGTGTGATACAAATGAGCCACGTCACGACAAAACCAACAAAGTGCGTTTGCAACCAGCATGCATCTGCGCAGTCTGATCAGGATCCATGCTGTTCGCTTACCAACTCTATTACAAGTAGAGAATCTGATAGCAAACAGCATGGATCCTGATAAGACTGCACAGATGCGCAGGCTGGTCTGGATCCATGCTGGTCGCAAACGCACTATGTTGGTTTTGTCATGACGCGGTTCAAATAAACAACACAGGATAAGTCTTTAAGATTTTTATTTAATGATGATAATGATGTTTCCACTCTCGGGAGTCTTCATCAGGGTTGTAAAATATTCAGTTTAATTTGGGATCGTTTAAAAGAAATATATACATCATCCGCCAATAAAGCTGGAAAGTGACATTAACTGTGTCTCTGTAACATAAAACTTAACAGCTGGTTCTTCCACTTGAAACTTGATTCTTTTGGAATGGGACAAAAGGTTGAATTTTATCTTTATCTGTTAATGGCATGTGGCCACATTGTTAGCTCGACTATTCGATAAGAATAAGTAGAGCTATTGTAGTCACCCGAGCGTCGGCGTAACCACTTATGTTAAAGTTTTTGTAATAGTTTAAATATTTTCAAAGTCCATTGACATATGGCTTTGAAACTTTGCACACTTGTTCACCATCATTACCCCAACCTGTAGACAGGAGGAGGTAACTCTATTAAGCATTTTGACAGAATTATGCCCCTTTTTCGACTTAGAATTTACGTTAAAGTTTTTGTTATACCTCAAATATTTTCAAAATTCATTGACATAAGGCTTTGAAACATGTTGAAATTTTATACTGTCTCCAAGGCCTATAACTGTAATATGGATTTAAAGAAAAATTTTGCCTTTTTCTTTACTTAAAATTTTTTACCTTTTAATCAAGGCTTTTTTTACTATCAAGCACTAAGAATAGTCGAGCGTTGCTGTCCTACTGACAGCTCTTGTTTTGTTTGGTGATGATGTATTGTTAAATCATGATATGTTAATGGACGATGTATCACTGCTGCTAAAAAATTCAGTCAATGCCATTTAACTTACTTAGAAGTAATAAGGGACTGAAATCATGTATCACTATTTACATATATCAGGTGTTAGGTACCAGGGCATTTTCACCCTACCATCAGGGGCCGATATAAGGCCCCATTTCCAATCCAAAATAGCCCCTCTTTCCCAAAATTAAAGAAAAATTACCAAAAGCAACCAAAACAGAGGAACTGTTTCAACTTTTGAAAATATTGGTAAGACTGTTTGACAGGCTATATGGTCATAGAAATGTTAAAAACCTTGAAAAGCATGTAAAATGCAGTTTTCAGCTTTTTAAAATTTCTCAAATTTACCAGATTCCAAATAATTTTTCCCAATGTATGCTGGGGGTCTTTCCCAAAATAGCTGGAAAAGGCCCTGGATATTACAAATATTAAATGTAATTCTGCCCGTGAACTAATTTTATTTCTAAATGTTTCTGATAATACCAAAACATTTTCACTTTTTTCAGTTTGAAAATCTGCTAACCACACAGGGTGTGGATAACACAGGAACAATTGAAATGGTGCCAATAGATAAGTGTCAGTTTGAAACTTGTGAAGGTGGATGTTTCAATAAACTGGAAGTGAAAGAAAATCCGAAAATGTACAATACTAAAGGTGCTTCCTATGTTGGCGTGGAAACAGATGTAATTGGCACTTGTGGTTGCCGGGCAGCTACTTTCTCACCAACAATTGAATGTACTCCAGGTTATTGTTACCATGGTGGAATTTGTAGCAAAAATGACTGGGGTGTAGTGAGGTAAGACAGTGTTGTGTATAGATTATATTCTGAATCATTTGGACACAAGTGTCATAAAATATCTTTTTTTTTCTCTGTTTATTATGTTTTTCAAGACTTTCCAAGCCCTACTGATTCTTTTTTATATTTCCTGAGAAATTTACTTAATAAATGGTGATTTTTAGCTCGACTTTTCTATGAAAAGGGGAGCTATCCTACTCGCCCCGGCGTCGGCGTCGGCGTTGGCGTCACACCTTGGTTAAGTTTTTCGTACCACCCCACTTTATTTCAGAAGTATTACAAGTATGGCTTTGAAACTTACCATACTTGTTCACCATCATAACCTCCATCTACAGACAAGAGTACATAACTCTGTCAAGGTTTTTGACAGAATTATGGCCCTTTTTTGACTTAGAAAGTGTATTGAGCTTGGTTAAGTTTTTTGTACCACCTCACTTTATTTCAAAACCATTGGAGGTATTGCTTTGAAACTGACCATACTTGTTTACCATCACGACCTTCATCAACAGACAAGAGGACATAACTCTGTCAAGGTTTTTGACAGAATTATGCCCTTTTTGACTTAGAAAATACATTGAATATGGGTAAAATCCACTTATTGCCTTAACCCTTTGAGATATTGCTTTGAAACTTTTAATGCTATTTCACATCATTACCCCCATCTGTACGCAAGAGAAGGTAACTCTGTCAAGGATTTGTTTTAAAAATTAAGGCCTTTTATCGACTTAGAATCTTGGTTAAGTTTTTAGTACCAGTCCACTTTTTGACTGAACTGTTTGAGATATTAATTTGAAAGTTGGAATACTTGTTTACAATCATGATTCCCAAACATGTCCAGGAGAAGGTAATTCTGTCAAAGATTTTATTTGAATTATGGCCCTTAACTGTCAATGTTTTGTATTATAGGCAAGCACTAAAAAACTTAAAAAATCTAAAAAAATTCATTCCTATCCACTTGTTCACTTTACCATAAATTATGTCATATAAACATTGCTGTAATATTCAAGGGTATCAAACAACTAGTTCACTTTAAAAATACAGAGATTCTTGTATTGCCTTTTACTGCAAAAACTTTTTTTATTGGCAAGCAATAAAAAAGTCGAGCGCGCTGTCTTACGGACAGCTCTTGTTACTATTTAGATTAGTTTTGTTGTAAAGGCAATCCTGTTGTAATTTATTCTTGCCTATACTAATTTCCTTTTTCTTTCAGCTGTGACTGTCCAGATGGATTTGAAGGTCCAAGATGTCAGAAACTTCGTCAGAGTTTTGATGGTACAGGTTACGCGTTGTACAAACAGCTAGAACAGTGTGAGGAGAGTAGAACAAGCATTGAATTCATGACAAAGAAAGCGACAGCCATTATTCTATACAACGGTCCCGTGGCTGAGCTCGAGCCAGTTGATCCAACAGATTTTCTATTGGTGGAACTGGTAAATGGAAAACCTAGGTTAAGAATTAACCATGGCACAGGTGAAATAATGATGGAGATTACAGATGGGAAAAGTCTTAGTGATGGAGCATGGCATCGTATTGATGTATTCAGGGATAAGAAGGTATTTCATGTATATAATTTGATGTGACTTACATTATACTAAATGAAAAGCAGTAAAAGTAACTACTATGTCTGAGGTGTAACATATTTATAAAAAGAGTGTAATTCATTTGCTATGTACACAAAGTTGCAGAACTTAAGAAAAATTAAGGTTCAAATTTTTCACAAAAAGATAATTTTTCATTTAATATAAAGGCAAGGAGAAGTGGAAAGACAGTCAATTATTGCATACAAAGACTAATAAAATCTATGACTATAGGAACTAAAGTTTGAAAAATATTGACCACCATTTATCAGAAAGTTGAAATTTTGAAAAAATTTCACCACTGTGAGGAAGAAATTAATTAAATGATAAATTTATTATAACTGGTTTTCTCTTTTGTATATTTGACATCTTTCTGTTGTTATTATTTAGAATGTACGTATGGTGGTGGACCATTGTGTTGACAGTTCAAGGCAAGATAGACTAGACTGTGAGGTTACAGGGGTCACAAGAGGTGAAAATATCTACATAAATGTTGTCGATGTTCTTCAACTTGGAGGTAGAATGAGTAACCCATCATACCCTGCCAATGTTCTTACAGAGAAGTTTGATGGATGCATGAGGAATCTTATTCACAATAAAGAGGTAAATATCAGTACTAGCAGGGTAAATATCTGTACTGTCTTGGTAGATATCAGTGCTTGCTGGGTAAATCTCAGGACTGGTAGGGTAAATATTAGGGCCGGGAATTATATTCAAATATTCGAAACACTATCGAATAATCGAACATTGAAAAACAAATACGAATATTCAATTTTTTTTGTTATTACTTTAGATTTCAATTATGATCGTAAATTAAACCATTGACCTTTACTTGACCAGGTGTTCACACGTTTGTATAACGCGTGTCAACGATTATCGCCAATTAACTGTGAAAACTTTGGGGTCTAGTTGATCAATAGGGCACCCGTTTCAGTTTGCAATTTACCTGTTTTTTTCAGATTTTAATTAACTTATTTATTGTTTTCTGTGCTATAATCTTTCCGATTAATTAAAAATTGTCTTAAAGTTTGTGAAGAAGAATAAATCGGCACGCATTAATCGGCAGTAATGAAAGCATTGGAAGTGTCTTTATTCTGTCAGAAATATATTTTTCCGTAGATATTACTCTCAGTGTGTGATATTTACTGCGTTATAGCTAAATTTATTTTAAGAATATTTTAAACCTTATCTAAAATTATAAATAAAAAAAATTTAATACAAGTTAAGATTCAATTTGTTATTGGGGCTAAGAGGCTACATGTACGATTATTCATATAACTGTCAAACAAGTCACGTGAGTTACCTCCCGTTTATAAGACAAATAGGATTAACTGAACAAAAAGCATTCAAAATATGAATTTATTTCAAATTGTAAACATTTATGTGGATTTACAATATATAAATTTAAAAAAAAACTTTGACGTAGTAATAAAGGTATTTTTAATCGTCGATTATTACAAGCATATTCAAGTAGTATAGTATTGGACGCAATCAATTTCGGATACGTATACGTCAAAGAGAAATTTGGAACAAATGTTGTAAAAAAAGAATATTCGAATATAGAAAACGAATATTCGAACATCAAATTCCTTATTCGTTCCCAACCCTAGTAAATATCAGTACAGTCTTGGTAGATATCAGTGCTGGCTGGGAAAATATTGCTAATTGGGAAAATATAATACTGTTAAGGTATCAGTGCTGACTAAGTAAATATCTGTGCTGGATGGGTAAATGTTAGTGCTGGCAGAGTAAATCTTATCACAGCTATGATGTACTGATGATTTGAGTTAATATTCAAGCAAGCCATTTTTTCATATTTTTCGTTGCAGGTATATGACTTAAGCACAGGTGGACAATTTCCAGGAACCAAAGATGGTTGTGACATTGAGGACGATGCCTGTCCTGATGGCTGTGGGCAGGGTCAGTGTTCTGTGACGGGTGTGACATCAAATGGGAGACTTGAAGCAACTTGTGTCTGCAACCCAGGCTATAAAAAGGCAACATTTGATGGCATTTGTAATACAAGTGAGTATTTCCTGAAAGAGAAGCATTTAGAGACATTCCCACTGTCCTTGATACAATTTTAGTAATCAGATACTGACCCTGAACCCATTTTAATAACCAAACTTTATTACATTAACAGCACAGTAATCAGTCTGCTGTCTTTCATATTTCTTGTACTTATTCTATCATAAATTAATTATTTGATATTTCTGTTTTATTATTTCAGATACAACACAAACATTGTTCAAGATGCAGAGTTACATGGATTGGGAAATTTTGAATACCTTTAAAAAGATTTTAAACTCACGCAAAATGGCCGTAACCTTTCAGTTCCGGACAAGAGACACTGAAGGCCTTATGTTTTATGTTTCCCATGACAATGATCCAAATAAATACATTCTGTTCAAGGTAAGTTTAACATTGTCAAGCTTCAAAGACATTAGTTTGGAAGTCCATTTCATGCTGAGATACCCTGCACACCCTATAGGCCAAATATACTACTCTCCTCCCATTGATGATTTTTTTTAGCTCTACTAGTGTCATAAGCATTCTATATTTAGAAAGTGAAAAGCTTATGTGTCTTATCATAAACTTTCCTAGATTTTCTTTGTAAATAGAAATTTTTTAAAGTTTCATATAGAAGCACTTTATTATAGATAGTGATACAATTTACACTTGAAAAAATGAAAAGAAAATTATTTTCATGTTTAGAGAAATTATATCTCAACTTCCTAAAGATATAAATTGTCACATTTAGGTTGATAATAAAGAGCTTATTGCTGTACTGTTGTAATGATATTATATAGCATTGGGGTCTATTGTAATTATTAATTTGTTCATTGAATTCATTAAGTAAATGCAGTGTTGCATTAATGCTGTGAAACTTTACTGTAGTTTGAACGATTCTTTGGACTAATATAGTTTGTTGTTATTTCAGATTGTAGGAGGAAAATTACAAGTGTCGTACAACTTGGGTGACGATGCTTATGACATTATTCTCTCAAATGTTCCAACTGTTGCCGACGGTTACTGGCATGTAGTAACTCTAGAACGCTTTGGAAAGGAATTCATTTTGAAGATGGATAGTGGCGAGGGACGGTATTATACTGAAACTTTGGGTCCAGTAAATGGGGTAGTTGATTTCTATGTCAGGCAAGATCAGATATATGGAGGAGCTAGTGTGTCGTACACATCGGGCAAAGCAGAATTTGTAGGCGAGGATTTTGAAAACTGTAAGAATACTATATTTACTTTATAGTTATCTATGTACTTTTACCCATAACACCTCTAGGTTAACTCAGGTCTTATTAAGTGTGAACACATGTAGCCAAAGATCATTTGTTTTAACCCATTCTGCCATGCCGCAATTTTTTGGCAGTTATTTTAACATTGTAACTGACATGGTCATCCATCCATAAATACTTATCCATTCAGTCAACCAATCAATCAATCAATCATCAATCAATCAATCAATCAATCTGTCAGTCAGTCAGTCAGTCGGTCTGTCAATCATTTGATCATTCATTCATTCAATTCACATTATTCATTTATTTATTTATTTATTTATTTCAGCATGTTTAAATGATGTTCGATATGACAACAACTGGTTTCCAATGCAGCCCAATGAATCAAATCAAAGCCAGGCTGCTACAATTAAATCTTATGCTAACATTGAAAGAGGTTGCAACAGAAACCTTTGCACTGACACTGTTTGTTCTGATCCTTTTATTTGCAAGGACCTGTGGGGTGACTTCAGCTGTGTGTAAGTAATAAAACTAAAACTTATTTAACTATTAACATCCGAAATACATAAAATTGACTTGTCCAGCTTCTATTTTTAGGAGTGTCAATTATAAATTTTAGGGCTATAAGGACGAAAATTTGAGGTTGGTGAGCTTACTATTGAACCTTGTCAGACTGTACACATGTGCAGGCTTGCCTGGCCATATACTGGTGGTAAAGGCTAGCCTTGTTTGGGTCTGGCTGGTTAAGGATAACTCTGAAAACTAGAAGTGATCATAACAGGCTGATGTCACAGATATTTAAATTCAGACTTTAAACTGCTTATTGTCCATCTATAGCTTTTTAATACTGAAACACCATTAGATACTAATTGGCAGCTCAAAGCAGGGCACACTCATCAGTTATATAAATAACACATAAGTAGGTGGGGAATAAAGCCACACCAGCTTGATTTGTATGCATGGTGAATTTAATCTAGAGAAAATTCATGTTAATTATTTAGTTCTGTTTTGGGTAATGTAACTTTATGATTATGTCTTTCCTATTTTAATGTCTTACTTGAGTTTTATAAAATTTAAAACTTGTGAATTTATCTTTGTCAAACTAAATTACATCATTATCATGTAAGGACTGTATGTGTTGGTGTTTGAACAAAAGTGAAACTTAATTTTTGTTTCTTTATAGATGCCCGGAGTATTACATAAAGAGTGGGTCTACGTGTGTACCCATAGATTATTGTGTGGATGGTCCGTGTTTTGGAAGTGCAGTCTGCTCTATTAATGTACCACCTGGAGCAAACGAAGAACCGTTTAAGTGTATATGTTCAGGAGCCTGGTATGGACCTCTGTGTCAATGTCATCCGGACATTAACCCTGGTGGTGATGCATGTGTCAGAGAGACTGAAGAAGAACCTGTAGTTGGGGTAGCATCTGGAATGATTGTTGGAATAGTTCTTGGAGTACTAGTCCTAATAGGTAGGTAGTCTTATGCTACACCTTTATGAACTTGTTTATGTCATTATTGTAGAGGCAGTTCAGCTTACACACTGGCTCAGTTTTGACAGTTTCTTGTAGACTCTCAGTATTAGAATAACTACTATACAGAGCAGGGTTATTCCATTATACTGATATATGAGGTAAAAAGATTAACTTAAAGTTAATTGTCATGCTTTATATTGTTGCTACACAGACTGGCTTTGTTTTAATCTTGCCAATATACATGTGCTTTGTAAAAACAGTTACAAGTACTACAGATATGAGAGTGTTTCAATAGGCTTTATGCTACAAAGACTTTCGGCTTTAAACTGTTTTGTATTCACTAAATTACTAGTAAGTGTTGTTAGTTGAAAAGGTTGTTTATCTGTTTGTTACAGATTTTTGTTTGTTTACACAAATGTTATTCATTTTTGTGCTCCCCGAAAAAATTCGGGGGAGCATATAGTCGGCGCCTTGTCCGTCTTGTCCGTCTGTTGTCTTGTCCAGAGCATAACTTGAAAACCCTTGGAGATAATTTGTTCAAACTTCATACAGTGGTAGAGGGCATTGAGGGGGAGTGCAGTGTCAAAGAACCATACTCTATTTTGCCCGGTTTTTGAATTATCTCCCCTTATAGAAAAATCTTGTTCGGGACATAACTCTAAAACTATAAGAGATATCAACTTGAAACTTTGTAGGTGAATAGATCTCAATGGGTAGATGTGCAGTGCATAAGAACAAAAACTCTTTTTGTACTAATTTTGGAGTTATTGCCCTTTGTTATTTTAACACTTTGAACTTTGTCCGGGACATAACTCTAAAACTATAAGAGATATCAAGATGAAACTTTGTAGGTAGATAGATCTTATTGAGTAGAAGTGCAGTGCAAAAGAACCATAACTCTGTTAAGCCTCATTTTTGAATTATCTCCCCTTTTAGAAAAATCTTGTCCAGGACATAGCTGTAAAACTATAAGAGATATCAACATGAAACTTTGTAGGTAGATATATCTTAATGGTAGATGTGCAGTGCACAAGAATCATAACTCTGCCTTGCCTAATTCTGGAGTTATTGCCCTTTGTTTATTTTTACTTTTTGAAGTTGTCCGGGAAATAACTCGGAAACCATAAGAGATATCAACACGAAACTTTGTAGGTTGATAGATCACATTGATTAGAAGTGCAGTGCAAAGAACAGTAACTCTGCCTTGCCTAATTGTGGAATTATTGCACTTTGAACTTTTTCCAGGGACATAACTCTGAAACTACAAGAGATGTACTTTTCTGTGTCCAAAACCTATTCGGGGAGCATCACCCGGCTCAAACCGGGCTCTTGTCTATTTCTATGGCCGCCTGCAGCATATTTGTCAAATTTGTTGACATGAAATCAGTTCACCTTCTTTCCTTGTGAGAAAGCTTTCAAGCTAGCTTATTGAATGTTTTTGGTTCAAATCAATTACATGCTGTGCCTGAAATAACTATGATGCACAATAGTGTTTATATAAAAACTTTCACCTGTTCTGTTGCAAAGTCCTATAATTATGAAAGGACTCAATCGAATTGAGTCTGCAATTTTCAAATAATGTTGATTTTGGTGCTTTTGGTGAATACCCCTATTCCAGATCCAATAGTTTTAGTGCGACCAAAAACCCCAACATCATTTTGAACTGTTTCTCTCCCTTACAAAATTTAATTAAAAAAAAAAATTGCCTTGTTTTATTTTCAGCTGCCATTATAATCATTGCATATCTGCTATTTTTTCGACGGAAGCCGGCTGAGAAAGAACCGTTTGATGAGGATATGGATGATGATATCAGAGAAAATATTATGTATTATGATGAAGAAGGAGCAGGTACGTTTATTTTATTTTACAAGAGTTATCTCTCCTGAAAGATATCTTAGCATTCTTGTCGATCAAAGCTGTGTACTGATAACCTCATTCATTCTGTGAATGATCAATTAATGATAAAGGAGGATTGATGTAGTGGTTGAGATGTTTGCCTGGCAACACGGGGATCATGGATTTGAACCCTCCTGATGGTGTTACAACTTTGTTTCTTAATATTTACAACATCAGCACAGGTTAGTTCCAGGAAACAAATTGGAGATTGGTCCAAATAAACTGCAGACTTTCTTTAGAAACAAATTTCTGTTATGTTTATATTATTACTGCACAAGATAACAGATGGCTAGACAGTAATATGTATCAGATGATATCTGTATGTGTTAATAAAAAATATCTTTAAGTTAAAAACAGACACGTCTATAATGATCGTATATATAACTTATTTTTACAGGTGAAGAGGACCATACTCAATATGACCTAAGCCGACTTCGTAAGCCAGACACTGGAGAACATCCTTTCGATGCTCCGGATATACGTAAACAAAACGTTAAACCCTTGAGTTCCTCAGCGGACAGACCAGAAGTCGGTGACTTTATTCACAACCGGTTGAACGATGCAGATGATGATCCGAACTCCCCGCCATATGATACACCACATGACTTTAACTTTGAAGGCGGAAGCAGCGATGCCGGTTCATTGAGTTCACTAAATACGTCAAGTTCAGGAAGTCAGGACTACGACTATCTAAACGAGTGGGGACCGAAGTTTGCTAAATTGGCGGACATGTACAATAATTATGATGATGCAGAATAGATGTTGATAAGAATGCTTGAAAGAATTTTGGAAAAAAAAAAGCTGGTGACTTTCTTTAATTTATGTGCTGCTAGAAAATATTTTTATATAGATTTCTATTGGTCTGATATAATCAGATTTCTATGTTATGTGACATAATGTGACATAACTCTTGGTGCATTTTGCATTGATAAGTTGGATCACCTCCCCTTTGTAATGAATGTATTAATTTGTATTTCATCCCAAAGATAAATATCTTGAGCATCCAATAAAAGTAAATCCAAAGAAACTGCAAGTATACTAAATTCCTTCAACAAATTGTGAACTTGTGCATCAATGCTTTACAGCTGTATTTGTCATCAGATGTTATTTCTGTAGAAAGATGAATTTATAAAGTAAACATTTAATCTGGTGCAATGTATTCAGTGCTTTTTTGTAAAGTTTCAAGGATCTCTAACAAGAAGTTTGGTTGTGAGATGTAATATTGCCATATCAGGCACACCCTCTTTTGTGGTGCCAAATTTAAATCAATGAAAAAGTATTTTTCATCATTATTACATTGTATTAATAAACAATATTATGCACAACATTTTATAATATATGCAGAAAAGTTTCAGACTTAATTTGTATTATGCTAATTAGATAGTAGAATTATTGTCGGCTTTTATCAGTGATGAGCGTTTTTTTTTTTTTTGTATTCACTTTTTGATATAAATTTGTTTCTAAGGTAACTAAAAATGTTTTTCTAAAAGACAAATGTCAACACATTTAGTTGTTTTCAACTGAAAAAGTTGAAATTATATTTATAAGACAAATTTAAGAAAGATTTTTTCTATGCCAAGTCAGTTAACCAGTTACTAAATTACAGTTTGGTAAATGTAAACAGAGCATTTGTGAGTGTAATTGTAATTTAATTGAACTATTGTCAATGAAATTGTAATTAATTAAATTGAACATTTTGTCAGTAAATTGATAACTTGTGAATTAATTTGTAATAAAAATGAACACTTGTTAATGCAGTTTTAATTAAATTAAACACTTGGTAATAGTAATTGTAGGTAACTGATCACTTGTGAATGCAATTGTGAATAAAAAGAACACCTGTAAATGTAATTTAAGCAAATTGTAATTAAGAAATTAAATTTTTAATGATATTGGCATATATATAGGTTTGAATAGTGCTGTGTGACAGTGATTGATAAGGAACCTATGTAATACGTTTCATTTACATTTTAATAATTTCATTTGCTTTTTTTAAAGTTTTACAATAACACATATCAGCATTTGCCTACGCAAATCTTAATTGTCTATCCATTCATTTTGTATTTGGTTGTTTGTTCATTATTTTAGTGTTTATTTTTCTTTCTTTTTTTTTCTTTTCATTTTTGTAACATAATTTATGCATTGCATTCCAAAACATTCCACATTTTAATATAAAACTATTGTAAATAAAACATCATTTTCCTGTATCTAGAGTTGTTTTTCTCCACTTTTTCGTGAAGATTTTGTTGTTTTGTTTTCATATCATGCATTGATAATTACCGATGAAATTTGTGATATACCGGTACATTGCTAGTAGTTGGGTGGATACTTATTAACATTTAACAACAATATTGAAAGTTGAAAATATTTTCTTTTTCACATCTTAAAGGTTACTGTAGACGTCCAGCTTTATTTGTCATCCAATGAAAACGCTGTATTTCTTAAAAATTGTGTGTTAATTTTCATAGAAGAACACAAGTCAATACAACATTGTATATAAAAGTCCATTTATAGTCGCCTTCTATTTTTCATAATGCTTCATAGAACTGCGTTCCTAAAAATATACAGGTAGTGATGTAAAAAAGTTAATACCTATTAATGAAGCCAAATAAAGCTTGGCACTAAGTATGTTAGTATTCTTCCGTAGCTGTTCTACAGGAATTATAAACATTTCCCCATCTGTCGCTTCGGGCGAATTTTATAATTTCTGTAGAACAGCATGGATGAACATAAACATATACTTAGTTTGTAGGACTGTCATATTTACACCTGTGATTACTGTTCTGATGAATAAAGACAATGTAAATATAACAGCTGTATGTGTCAAATATTTTATTTTAGTAGTTTGATGAATATAGGCTTATGTTTCTTTTGCATTTGTTCGTTTCTCTTGAAATTGCATACTAGATTTATAAACTAGTTACCTTAGAAATTAGGAAAACATTTATAAAAGATTTTGTATATTTTTTTTTACTATTGTTTGTTAATTTGTGAAACTAAAAGTCTGATTTTAATATTTTATTACTTCTACTGTAAGGAAAGAAAAGAGTTTAAATCATTATCTAACATGATCTGTTCAATGAACTTTCCTCATTTGACCTTGGGAAAGCCCATTGATAGTTCAAACGGTATCAAGAACAGAATACAAATCTTGACAATTTCAACAGTAGAGACTATTGTTAAATTGCTTTAAATCTTGAAACTTTAATAACGGCATAGTTCCTTTAATATAGCTCCTTCAATTTAAACATGACCAAAAATTTGTGAAATAGTATCTATACAGTCCAATATAATGATAATAATAAAGAACCATTAAAAATAGCATTTTTAGAAGTTGTTCTTTGTGAACAATTAAGACTTGATATAGTGAAACTGATTTAAAAGTTAGTACAAATATAGATTTTTCTTCCGGTTTGTCATTAAGGAGAATAATCATAAAGCCTTTTTGGCTATAAACATGAGACATTGTATTATATTTCGGTTATTGTAATCATCTTTCTCGTAGAAGTACTTAATTAGATATTCTGAAAAATCCAAACTTGCATGATTGTTTTTGTCCGTCTAACTACATGTAACATTCCATTCACAATATAATATCTAAGGGAAAGGCACTCCAGAAAAAATTAAGTAAAATATGGAGTAAACTTTACGTAATAAATTGTATACATTCAGCATCAAAGGATATTATAAAAGATTTATGACAAAATATACATTGCTAATTCATTATTTTTACAAAGCAAGTAGGTGTCATCATGTTTGTGTATTGAAGTGAATGCCAAGTCATATACCCACATTCAGGTTATCGATAAATATCAGAAGTGGCATCATACATTGATAGCATAAAATTATGTATATATCATAAAATTATGTATGTATCAAATTACATGTAAAACATCCACTTTAGCATTTGTGGTTGTTGTTTTTTCTATTTTTTTGCCTTCAGGTTTCATGAAGGCAATGTTATTTTATTTAATTATGTGTAAACATTTAATTAAATCTAATAAAGTTAAGTAAAGCTAGTCTATCTTCTGACAAGTAATAAGTTCATGCAGCGTGTAACTTAATTTAATTATATGTATAAGGCTTCCATTGCCAAGTGGCTTAGGTTGCTGACCCTCACAGCTGTGGGATCAACTCCCATGTGGGACTTTGGAATTTTATTTGCATGTGAGGAATCCTAGTCCAGGGAGCTTAAAGAAAGCTGTTGCTACTCAGGTTGTCCGCTCATGCCTGAAATAATGCACAAATTAAAGGGACACCCACAGTCTATCTCCACTAGTAAGGTTGGAAACTCCCCTATGACCTATACAGTGTAATTGTGACTTAAAACATAACAGCCATTAATGAGGTGATCATAGTACCTGTTATGGAGCAAAGTGAAAGTCTGTGTTACTCTAATCTGTATCATAAACTTTACTGTTATTAAGGTGAGGTGCTTCTGACAATTTCACACATAATGATCAAATATTCAACTGATAAGCAGAAAAATGTGTACTTCTAATATATATCCAGATAAAAAGGAAAAACTTTATTTTTTCATGCCAAGACAAGTTTTTTTTTTACACAACCCCACACATCCAAAACAAAACACAACAAACACTGGCCGTTCATCATAGCACTGCCATATCATTTTTTTTCATTCTTTTGGTTTATTAGATAATATTACACCTTTTTTTCTGTGAAAATGTTAAGGCTGTCTTTGTTAACTGTGATATGTACATTAGTTAACACCATTGTTTATCTTACATTTTTAATTGAAGGTAGAAGTAATGTGTATGCTAGTGTTTTATAGATTTTGAAATTTTTATGCATTTTTCTTTACACCTCTGATCATATTTTATACTTTCATGACAAAACATTCCTCTATAAAAAAATAAGTGTCCTAATTATTGTGTTAACAGAATGTATTATATTTTGTCTTATTAATAAAGGAACTATGTTTTTTACACATGAGCTTGTTGTATTATACCCCCTCTGCCCCACCCTACACAACAAAAGTTACAATGTTACCCCTTGCACAATGAAAGTTGGATTGAGGCTATCCAGCCACCTGGTTGTCTGGCCATCTGTTTTTGTTACAGTCACCTATGGATAATTCCAAATGATTTTAAACACGCCCTGCAGTTAATGAGTAATTTGTCTTTTTTATCCGTGGCAACCATGGTACCTTTAATACTTTAAGAGTAATGCTGTGGACTTAAAATTAGCATGAAAAGTACAAGAACTAAAGAACTAAAAAATTATGAAAGGTCCAGTCATCATTATTTTGCACTGCACTCTCACAAAAGATCAATCCACCTATGAAACTTTTTATGCCAAATATGTATCAGAAATGGTTTCATTTTAATTTCTCAAAAGCTCTTGTTTTTGTTCTTTTATAGATTTCAATAGTCCCCCCTTTTTCTTGTCCGGGACATAATTCTGAAACAACAAGGTGCCATCAAGACATGTAGTAGATAGATGGATCTCAATGAGTAGAAGTGCAGTGCACAAGAACAGAAACTCTTTCATGCTTAATTTAAGAACAGGAACTCTTTCATGCTTAATTTTTGAGTAAATGCCTTTTTTAATTTGTCTGGGACATAACTCTGAAACCACAAGAGATATCAAAAAGAAACTTTGTAGGTAGATAGATCTCATTAAGTACAACTGCAGTGCATAAAACCATAACTGCCTTGCCTAATTTTAGAGTTATTGCCTTTTGTTCATATTTACACTGAACTTTGTCTGGGACATAACTCTGAAACCAAAAGAGGTATCAACAAGAAACTTTGTAGGTTACAAAAGAGAGATCTCATTAAGTAGAAGTGCACTGCATAAAAAACATAACTATGCCTTGCCTATTTTTGGAGTAATTGCCCTTTGTCAATTTTTACACTTTGAACTTTGTCTGGGACAAAACTCTCAAACTACAAGATATATCAACAAGAAACTACTCTGTGTCCAAAACCTATCTGTGGAACATCACCCGGTTCATCTGGCTCTTATTCTGAAGAACAATTTTATTTATTTCTAAGGAATAATACTAGTATGCCTTTAAACATGATAAAATAATGAAAGACATTTACTGAAAAATTTGAAGTGGATAATTAAAATTCTTATTAACTGCACTCAATATGAATAAGATCTATAATCCACCTATGAATGTTCAAGCTGTACCTCAAATCAAATACTTTTCAATGTATGATCAGGACAACAATATGGAAAGGAAGGATGGATAGATCATGAGATGAGGACTATGACCATATCTAACAACATCTTTTGGGAAGGGAATAATAAAACTGCATCATAATAAAGGTTAACAAAAAATACAAATATTATCATTTGTTCTAGCAGTTTATTTGTTTTATTCATTATAATAGAAATAACAAAGCATAGCAAAAATCATTTCAATAAAAGCAAAACTAGAGAAAGTATTCCTCATGTAAAAGAGATTTAAAGGTGATTTACAGGCTCATAAGACTTCTAAAATGTCTGCCTTCATAGATGAAACATACACATTAAAGTAATATTAACCATGAATTTCTTAAAGGCCCAGCCTTTATCAAAATGTGGCAGTATTTTTATCAGGTGAAAGTAGGACATCTATTTGTGATGCCCAGTGATCTATAAAGCATATATAAAAATCTGACAAACTGGTTTCAAATATATGATTTGGTTAAATTCCAGAAGAATGCTTTTTGAAAATAAACTAAGCAAAATAATAACATCAATAAAGAAATTATTTAAATTTTTTATATAAAACAATTATACAACAACACTGAACCAACAGTTATAACATGAAAGACATAAATGAGTATATTACAAAATTACAATATAATGATAGCAATATTATCCTGCTCATTGGAATTCCGTTGTTTTAGCAAGTATAAAAATACATCTAGTTTGGTTTACTTAGTTTGTAAATGAGATGTGTATCCAGTAAGGACATTTTATGTTTATCAATTCCCTAATACAAATTCACATTCCGACTTCATAAAAGTTATGAATTCTTGATTTCAACTTCACAAATAAAAAATTTCAAGTAAATGAATACACATTTTAAATCTCATGAATCCACAATTTCAGTCTCAAATTTGTGACTATAAATCCACATTGTTTTGATTTGTGAAGTTGGAAATTGGAAAAAAAAAAAACTGAAATTATGTCTTCTTGAAGTTGAAATAATGAATTCATGATTTCACCTTCACAAATTCATGATTTCAACTTCATGAAAAACATGTAAATAATTATTTTCATCTCACTTTTGTAAATCAATTAAAGCATTATCACTCAGCTGTGCATATATTTTACAAGATGTCATTTATGTTAATATACAAACAGTGTAAAGACATGCTAAATGTTAGCATTACACTATAGGCGTACATATGAAAAGTGACTCTTTTTCATGTAAACAATTCTTATTTTGGATATCTGATAAAATGAATATTATATTTTTGAAACTTCATTACTAAATTTATTAAACATGTTGAATAAAATAATATTATTCTCACCTCACTCAGGCTCACATAATATAATTCTATTCAACTTGTTCAATAAATTCAGTACTGAATATACACTCATTCAATATCCCCTATGAGATTTTTCTTTCTTTTTTATTAAATTTATAAATAGTTGATAAAAAATATTTGCTATAGAAATATTATTCTATAATAAAAACAACAACAGGAAAAACTTACAAAAAACCTAAAGGTCCCAAATATTCCATTCTGAAGCTGAAATTCTATCTATTGAAATCAATTATTCAAAATGAAATTCAATTTTCAAAATTCATTCTGCTTATAAATACATGTATGAATTATATATCTTTATTCACTTTATTATGTCTGAATTAAGTTACTTTAGTACAGTACAGTACAGTATATAAACTATATAGCTTAAAAATCTAAGCTGGTTTTATCATCAGCACAGCTAACACTGTTGTCTGAGAGTGTCTCTTTGTATATTTGCTACAGCACAACCGAATGTGCTCATAACTGTAGGTAACTCTTGTCCTTCCACCCACATTTGTCTCCCTTTCTCCTCCTTTAACCAACATAACCCCGCCATCCAGCTTTTATCATCTTCTCCACCCACTATCAATATAGTTCCCCCATATTTAACCACCCCTGCTCCACAGAGGGCGTTAGGTAGTTCCGGACCAGCCGACCATGAGTTGCTGTCTACATCATAAATTTCGACAGAGCTTACACAGAACTCTGGCAAGAATTCTCTCTTCCATTTATCACTTATCTGCCCGTTTCCACCTAGTAAAATAAAAACATCTGCATGTATCATGAAATGTCACCTTCAAAATCAGTTAAAATGTCATATAACTTAACTAGAAATGTGTTCATAGAACAAAGGTGCCCCCACTCTCCACTTATGACTCTAGGTCAAATATTTTTTGGGCTACATGTGCCACAAGTTGAAATATAATCATCTTTTACTAAGTCAAGAAACTCTAGAAATACTTGATAAATCCACACGAAAATACCCAGGTGCACAACTACACTTGCTGAGCAACATTCCTGTAAAGTTTCATGATTCTAGGTCAAGTAAGTACTTTTAAAGTTTTTGAGCTACCTGCCGCACAAAATGGACAGATGGACGGAAGGATGGATGGATGGACTGACAAGGGTGAATCTAAATGCCCCCCTCCCCCCTATAGTGGGGGCACAAAAATTACAATTACTTTAATCCTGAACCTGCTGAATTAGACCTATGTGTCCCATAACTCCTACCAACTTAAAGAGGTCCACCAATACTCCATCTAAAGTAAGAAGACAACCAAAGGTATCTACGTACATCAGTCAATAAACAAAAACTTTAAGAGCAAAAGTGTAAAAACCTATTTTCCCACCAGTGACCATGATTTATCTGACCCCTTACTATATCCAAATTTGTTTGGTTATATATCTCGGAAGTTGATCAACCTTTCCTGGATAACTAACAAGTAATTACCGATTTATCTGCAAATAACCAACATAATTATGACTATTGTTGATCAAATTCAATGAGATGACAGTATTACCTATAACATAAATCTTCCCATGATGCACAACACTTCCTGCCAACACCCTAGCAACAGACATGGGAGTTAACTCTGTCCAGCTGTCTTCTACTGGGTCATACCTGAAAAGTACACAGTACTTCAAACATTTTTTTATCTGGCAAAATTCTCATAAGAACATATCAGAATTAAAAGAAATTCACTAAGTTCTAAAAGACTAGAAACTTAAAATTTGATTTTCTGACATAGATCTGTGCCACATGTTAGTGAAATTTTGAGCAATTTATGAGCAATTTATGACAATATAATATTTGTTTTGGAAAAATGTAGTAAGCAGCAAATGATGTGAAATTATCCACACAAGTTATTGGAGTAAACCTGCATCAAATGGAACATTAATCTCGAAAAATTATTTTCAGTTCCATCATGTCAAAAAGTCTCAGTAAAGTCTCTTTAATATATCAATGGATTATAAAATATAGCTAGTACAGGTAAGTATTATACTATAAGGTTATTATACAAATTGTTAATTTAGTTCCATACTGAATTCTACAAGACAAGTACACATCACACAGCTGTCAAATCTTCATTAGATGACATTCTAGCCAAGTCTAGTGTACAAGTCCAACAGAATCAGTATTTTACTGAAAACTGTTTAAATATCTTTTTACTTCACACAACAAAGTTTCAGACATTTTGACAGAACATTTTAATTTAGAGTAACAATAAGTTTTCTATATGGTTTTTAATTGGACCCTGAAATATTAAACAATGGTAGATGAGTACAATAGTGTGATAAGATAGGGATTCTTTTGACTCAGAAAACAAACATGAGACGCGATGATATACAATATTGATTTGGTACAGGCTTTTATGGACTGGGAAAATGAAAATGAGGCTAAATTTATAAAATTGTATCCGATAATGACTTATATTTGAAGATCATAATTATGGTGCAAATGATGGAAGTTCTCCGCTTACATTTCATAAGACGTGACTTTAATGTGGATATGTCATATGTATATTGTAGCTAGTTTGAATTTGACTCATTGACTATTGGTAATTTTAGCTGGTGTACTTAGGAGAATTAGTCAGTAAAAATCCATTCTTCAAACAATTGACAAGCCTTTTTTATAAACTTATTATGCTAAAAACTGATAATACCTGTAAGCTGTACTGACTACATCTGTGACTCCCTCCCCACCAAACACAAACAACTTCCCTTTTAAACTAACAGATGTTGTAAACCTTAATGGCTGTGGAAGAGGGGCAACAAGCGTCCACGTATTGGCCCTTGGATCATATTTTTCTACAGTGCTTAATGTTTCTGTCCCATCCATTCCACCTATAGCATATGCAAACCTGTAAGAAACATACAAATGATACATTCAAGAAAAATTATTCAGTATTTTGTGTGAAATTTACTAACTGATATTCAAAACACGGGCATAATCTGCTCTTTATTTATATATTTTTTTTTTTTTTTTTTGGAGGGGGGGGGGAATAATATTGATAATGCTATATATAACATTAAATATGTAAATTTTACCATACAAAGAATCACTACTGACAAGTAGTAAACAAAAGTGTAAGTATTGTGTTTCTTTCAGGAATGCCGGTTATGTTTTATATTTAAGAAATATTGTGATATTTGTGAACATTTGTTGAGTAGTGAAGTAGCCGCTGTACATTTATTTATTAAGATAATACAGTAACAGATTGAATGCAGATTATGAACTATAAGTATAATACTCATTGGATGCAAAAGTCAGGCAAAACCTAAATAAAGTAACATGTCTTTTATTTAGTTTTGTTTTGTAGCAATATACCAACATACATACATATGGGGGGTGGGTCAATATATAATGCAATATGAAGTACATTTTCTTATTGAGCTTGTAGTTCTTGTGTTGGTGTAAACAATGAAATGCTTCCAAGCATCTGCTTTCAAATGCTACTAAAATCATGTGCGATCAAGAACTTAATGTGACTTTTTCCTCTTTCCTAGACTGAAAAAAACATCCTGCAGGTCATCGCTACAAAAGTAGAAATAGACTTGTGTGGCTCATTGTACATTTATTGAAAGATACACCTAAGGAGAACTATGTTGAAGCATTTAAAAATTGGATTTAAATGTCTGAAACTTTGTATTTCTGTACAAGGAGATTATTTCAAAGGGTTGATATAGAAAATTTTAAAATATTTGTTGCCCTATTGATAAATTTATTGACTGTTTTGCAATACATATTGACCCACCCTTGTACATTTTATTCTAAAATGACTTCCAAGTACAGAATTTTTTTTCATCCTTTTGAGAAAAGCAAAAACATTCAATTTGATAGAATTTGTAAAACCATCATCAAAATTTGCAAAAAAATCTTCATTTCAAATTAATGTAAGCCACAGTATGTAAAAACAGTATATTAGATTACAGTCTAATGCTATTTGATTTTATTTATTTTATTTTATTTTTTGGGGGGGAGGTAAATTTCTGAATACATGTAGTACATGTATAAATAACATTTAACTTGTTTATCATATCAGTTTTCTCTAATATTCTTTTATTTAAATGAGCATGACATGTGTATATTAGAGTGGTAACCATGAGGATATAGGGCAAATTTAACAGGCACATGTTTAGATGATTAAACGTAGATGTATTTATTTAATGATTTTCATTAAAATCAACATAAGCCGAAAATGAGTTGATTCAGACAAATATCACAATATGAGGCAATTGTTTACAATTGAATTCAAAATTTGTAAACGTTTGGCAACTGGGAAAAGGTTTTTACTCCATGTGTGTTAAAAAAACACCCTCACTGTTAACAGGGTCTTTCTATTTGAAAGACCCTGCTGTTAAGTTACAATCTAATAAAACCTAACATTTTTATTGACATGTAAACTGGGTCTCTTTTTCAAGTTTACATAACATTCCCAATCACACTCATTATGTAGTATAGAAAGTGCACTATAAACTTAGAAAATCAGCCTTGTATAAATGACCTAGATAACTTTCATTTAACCTATTTAAATCAATAGCCAACAAAGGGAAAGAAGTATGTACAACATCAAATGACTATAACATATGACCATCACAAAACCAGTCGTATGTACCAGAACATGTATGTAACGTTACTGACATTGAAAATACACCAGATCTGAATGTGTAAAACTATAGCATAAAAACCAACAAAAAAACTTATACAAAATTTAATACACAAGTATTAACAAGTATTTTTCACCATTTGAAACAAGTATTTTTCATCATTTGAAACAAGTAATTTTCATCATTTGAAACAAGTATTTTTCATCATTTGAAACAAGTAATTTTCGAAACAAGTAATTTTCACCATTTGAAACAAGTATTTTTCATCATTTGAAACAAGTATTTTCATCATTTGAAACAAGTATTTTTCATCATTTGAAACAAGTAATTTTCATCATTCGAAACAAGTAATTTTCATCATTTGAAACAAGTAATTTTCATCATTTGAAACAAGTATTTTTCATCATTTGAAACAAGTCATTTTCTTCATTTGAAACAAGTAATTTTCATCATTTTAAAGAAGTATTTTTCACCATTTGAAAAAGGTATTTTTCACCATTTGAAACAAGTATTTTTCACCATTTAAAACAAGTATTTTTCATCATTTGAAACAAGTATTTTTCATCTTCTAAAACAAGCATTTTTCATCATTTGAAATGAGTATTTTTCACCATTTGAAACATTTTTTTTTTCATCATTTGAAACAAGTAATTTTCATCATTTGAAACAGGGTCTTGAAACACGCTATGTAAAACCTTCTCGCTACAATTAAACATGTCTCGGTATAAATTGGTATAGTTTGTTATAAGCAAATTATGTAAGAAAAGGGCGAATTTTAAATACAAGAGCAAAAAATGAAAACTTTAACGACATGATGTTATTTAAAAATCTTTAAACTTCTGAAAAAAGGATAAATATTTCAGGAAATGATGTTTTTAAAGCCATCTTTGTTAAAAATCATAGATTGTTTGTTCAGAATATTTGCCGATAATCGGCGCCATTTTGAAAATGCACCAAATTAAACATCAAATATTTGCAAATAACATCGTAAAATATCATAATAGCTTTACATGATACGATTTAATAACATCTTTTCTCTGTAAAATCTATTTCTATTTTGTCATTGAACAATGCATAAATTTAAAAAAAGCTCATGAAACTCGGGCCTATTTTCAAATATGAGCAGTAGATTTTTACCTTGACACCGGGAACGAAAAATTTCTAATTTCATTGCAAATCTATAAAATTGTTACTTTTAAGTAAAAACTGATAATATAATGTAGTCAGAGTTAGTTTGTAGTAATTTTTGATTGATTTAACAAAACTTTATCTTATAATTTGATTTTTGAATGGTGATGTGCTATGTCATATCACGGTCGGTAGATATAAAATCCAATCACGTGACTCAACCGAGACAGCATTTTTCGTAAAATTGGTCTGTCTCCAGACCATTCTATTTGAAAGATCCTGTTTGAAACAAGTAATTTTCACCATTTGAAACAAGTAATTTTCACCATTTGAAACAAGTAATTTTCACCATTTGAAACAAGTAATTTTCACCATTTGAAACAAGTAATTTTCACCATTTGAAACAAGTAATTTTCATCATTTGAAAAATCAAAATCACAATTAATAAACTCCTTATAATTTTTTTCAATCACTTTTGAGTTTGTCTGAAAGAAAGTTCCACAAACCAAGAACAATGCTGACAGATAATCTAAATACCTGTATGAAAACACCTAATAAACATGTATTACATGACTAGTACAGTATGTTGAAAGAAAAAGCAAATGTGAGTCTGAAATTCTAAAAGTAAAGTGACTGAAGCTGTAAAAATAAAACCAGAAGTAAACTAGAAGGGGTTTTGTCACAAAAACATATGTCTCCCAAAACTATGGATGGTCACTCATGTGAAGTTTCATTGAAATCCCACCAGGAGCTTGACTTGTGAAGGCCGGACAAGATTTTTCTATTTATAGCTCTGACGGCCACTTTGTACAGCTAAGCGGAACGTGCCGGTGGTATGGTTCTGATCACTCCTAAAAATTTTGGTTGAAATCCCATCAGTAGTTTGAACTGTGAAGGTCAGACAAGAAGACAAAAACAATATGTCTCCGAAAATATATTTCATTATTCATAAACGACAAGACTTACCCATCAACAATGGTTAAGTTAAACATTGACCTGGATACATTCATTCTCATCTTTTGTATCCATGACGCTGACGACTGGTCGTATATGTAGAACAGATTTGAAACCCCTTCGGTCGTTATCGAGCCCCGGTAATTTATCTTACGTATTGAACCCCCAGCAAGGTAGATCTGATTGTCTCCAGTGATGGCACAGCCTGGTGTATGATAACAAAATGTTGGAATTACTTTAGTTTTGTACAATATATGAGCCACATCTCGACAAAACCAAAATAGTGGGTTTGCCACTGGCATAGATCCAGACCAGCCTCCGCCTCCGCGCAGTCTGATCAGGATCCATGCTGTTCGCTATCAGTTTCTCTGCTTGTAATAGGGATTGTAAGCGAACAGCATGGATCCTGATCAGACTGCGCGGATGCGCAAGCTGGTCTGGATCCATGCCTGTCTCAAACGCATTACGTTGGTCTTGACATGACATTGCTCAATTATTATTGTGGTACACTTCTTGTATAAATGAATTAAAAGCAAAATTCTCTTGAATATTTATGTACATGTACATAGTAAAATTTCAAAGACATCAACTTGGGAAGCATCGTATTTAAAACACAGAATATAAACAAGGGTTTGATTTTGTCAGATATAGACTTGTAAAATGATAGTATGTTAGTGGATGCAAAATGATATACATGCATTAACAAACAAGAGCTGTCAGAGGAGTCATCAGGCTTGGCTAATAAAATACTGTAGACAAAACTACAGGAAAAATATCAATTACGGCATACATTTTTTGTAAATATATTTCTGTACTAGAATGGAAAAAGGAACTGAAGTTTTTTTTGCACCACATAATATGTGACTATGTCAATAAAAGTTAAAAGAACATTTCTATGCTCTAATGGAAAAGACAACAATTTGAAATCTGAAGTCAATCCCTTCAGACAGCAAAAAGTATATAAAGTTTTTAAAGTAAAATTATGAGCTGAAAGTTGAAATAACTCTTGAAATAAAGATCCTAGTCTTATAAACCTTTTCACATTACTATGATATGGTAGTTGATATAAAACTTTAATCAAAACTTTGAAGAGAAGTAAATCCTTTAGGAAATAAAGATGTCAGAGTAAATAATAAGTTCAAGGGGGGGATAATTCTTGAAATATTTATACTAGAGTTATGAATCTTGTCATACATGACATGATAATAAGGACCATATATTTGAAGTTTGAAGTAGATACCTTAAGAAATAAAGAAGTTATAGCTTAAAAACACACCATGTTTTAAATTTTGAAACAAAGAATTTAGATAAAAAAAATATGATATTTTGGAAAATTCTTAATAATTCTATATATAGACTAAGATTTGCTCGTGATACCTTAAAAAAAGAAACAATTACAACATTGTAGTGTCATACTGAATAATTATTTTGCGAAATCAAATACAAACTGGTTTTACATAGTTACCTGGAGTATACAGACTTTGAGGCAGTTTACAAAGAAAGACAACCTCCCCTGTTTTTGGTAGCAAAACTTCAATACTGTTATACTTTTTTAGAGAATCCTCGGTGTAAGGGTTGGCAATGATCATGACCCCTCTTTCATACTGCATTCCTTTCCGAGGCATCAAATTCAGGTCCATTTCCTGATGCCTATCCCTGTAAAACATTTAGGTGTGTTTTGGATCATGGTTATAAAGAAACTTAAGTTTTTTGTCAGTTTGTAAAACAAGAGTTACTGCCCCTGAAGAAAGCATTATATATTCAACAATCACCAAGGATGATACCTGTGATCATTGTTTGAAAAAAAAGAAGCCTAATGTGAAGAAGGGAAGGCAACTTAAGGTCTTCCTCCACTAAAAAATCTGAAAATTTACGATATGACCTTCACTATGTTGTACATGTGACTTAAAATCCAACAAACATTGACAAAAACAACAAACTTTATAATAAGACTTTGAACTTTTAAATCACTTACCTAAGCATGTGATAGTACTTAACATTGTCAAGCGTTTCGTTTAAGGTTTCGCACTCCTTCAACATTGTGTTACAGTCTATCCTGTCACAGAAATAGTAAGAATTTATGTTAGCAAATCGAACACAGTCCATCACGTCTCCTAAGTGCTTTTTCCGTTCTGTTAAGTTATTTTTGACCCAATTTAAACATGCCTCATACATGATCTCTTCCTGGGCAACCTCAATATTATCATCACTTGTAATTTCTATCAATTTATCTGCCGGCAATGCTAGAAATTCTTGATTTTGGCATAATACTGAAAATTGTTTGTTTATAATTTCTTTGGCCTTTGCAGCCAATCCGGTGCACTCATGAGCTTTCGCGAAAAAATACACACCAATGCAGTTGGAGACTGTTATGTGACGCCGCATAAAATCAGCACATCCTGCCCGTAAAGGAAGCAACTGAAACCTGTTTGCAGCAGACAGTAAGTCTTGGACAGTTTCTTCAGTCATACAAACCTCTCCTGTATAAATATAGTCTAGTACAAGCTCCATTGTCAAGCTGTCAATCTCTTTCAGAGTTATCTTTTCTTTCTGGCTTTCAGACATGGACGTCGAAAACAAAGCCATGAAAAACGGACTTGATATTGCCAAAACATTTTTATGACAGAAAAATTCCCTTCCATCGACAACAAGTGTAATGTCAACAAACTCTTGGTCCTTATACAGTTTTGAAAATCCTTTCAATAAATTTGTTCCCCACTCGTGGTCAAGAAATTTGTTCTCAGCTGACTTCTCTAAAGATCCAGCTTCAGTGATCTAAAACATATAACATAGTTATGAATGAGAAAGGTAATTTTTTATTTTGTTTGATGTTTTGTAATTGTACAAATATATTCATATCATATACGTATCTGCAAGTTGTTTACATGTGGATATTTTCATACATCAAAAAGTAACCATTTCAGAAAGTTTTGCATGTAAAGCTGACCAGTAAACGTAAATATTCTTCATATTAACAATGAAAAAATTAAAAAAAAACATGATAACTTTTATTTGATACTAATTAAGCATGGTTGAGAAAAAATAACATCAAGTAAAGCAAAACAAATATCTTTATCTTACCAATATTGATTTCTTTCCTTTTCATTACACTCACAAATTATGGAAAAATTAGGCCTAAAAAAATTGTTTTGTTCGGGTCACCCAACCCTACGCCGACCCTATCTTTTTTTCGTGTCCAAAAAAAAAAAAAAAAAAAATCCGACCTACCCTACCTATTCCTTGAGAGCATTTTACCCTAACAAAACAATTTTTTTTTAGGCCTTACACTAAATGGTAATATATCATTGTTCAGATGGGTTTTTTTTAATGCACATCTAAACTTCAAATTGCACTATATTTTACCAAATGCTCTCAAAGTCAAGATATATATTTCCTAAACATGCCTCAATCTTTTTGACAGTGCAATAATGAATAAATGATAGCTGCTTAAACTTAACAATTGATACTGGTATCCCTTAACCTGAAAATGGACAGTTTCACTTTCAAAGTTAGACAAGCCTGTTCCCTAAATTTAATGGGGTAAAATACCTGTGATAACTGGGAAAGTTGAGAGTCATTTAATATGGAGCTTGTTGTCACAGCACTGTCCTCCATCTTGTTTGAACTGCAATGAAAATTCACTGTGACATTCAGTAGCTTCTTTAATATTCTCTGTACTATGTGTTTCTTCATGCAGTTGACTGAAACTCGGTTACCTTGACATGACAGCTAGCTCATCTCATTAGAGGGTCCTAAAAACAAATAAAAATACTTCTATGACAGATAATGAACAAACAAAAGGTTGTCTACCAACCTATAATAATAGGTTAAACTCTTCAGAAAAGTCTGGGGCCTTGTGCATTATCTATTACTGAAATGTGAAAAAAACAACAACTAAGAACCATACTCCCCCCCCCCCCCCATCTAGAGTCACTGCAAGTGCCAGACTCGACTTTTTCTTATTTCTAGATCATATATGAATTATTCCACATGTCAGTTTTGTCATAAGTTTTGTCATTTTGGCTAAGTATGGCTTGGATCAAATTAGTCCATTGTTTAAATGAAGTTTGGCAATTAAACAAGGATTCATATATATGTTTGTGAAATATGAAAAAATCATAAAGCAATAACAATATATGCCCATAATTCTCAGTGTGGAAGTTTGTATAAAATGTGTTGATGAATGAAGAAATAGCACATGCTCCCCTGCCACTGTAAGATGATTCACCAATTTTATCATTTGATATTACTAACTAGCTATTTTTCTTCTAGAAAACTTAGTTAATAAAGCCAATCCCTATCCCATTTCAGGACTCATGCTGGCAGGAGCCAATGAGCAAGAATTGGCTCAAACTTATGAAAGTATATGGCTTTCTGAATCTCCAGTCTAAATTTAGCATTCGCTATTTTAAGAATGTCCAGAAGTTTAACGATAGCGTGAAAATTGGAGACTAGCGGGAAAGCCCAATTATCACCGAAGCGCTCAAAGGATTGTGGGTCTGAATCGGACTCTCGTCTATTTTCGGAGTTTCTTATCCGTTGTATTTATATCTGTGCTGTAATACAAAATGTAGTGACTTTTCAGAGATATATCACAGTGATTTAACAGTGATGGTTCCAGTTCCACATTGATGGTTCTGACTTCAAAAACTTTATCTATCTATCTTCTTATTAATATATCTTCCTTTAATGTCAAACTCCTTGCGATTTTTAACATTTTTTCTTTTGTAAGATGTGGCATAGTCAAGTACCCCGAATACCTTACGCTACCACAGTGATAAAGCATAACGAATGCTTTACTGTATCACAATATTTGCAAGTGGTAAATATAGATTTACTAGGTTACATTCTGCTATGTTAATTTTAGAAACATTTTTTAAAATGTCCCAGAAATCTGTATGGAAATTATGGCATGTATGATTAATGTACTGATTACTTTTATATCTATGAATTTACTTAATTTAGGTAGACTATTACATGTACTTTATACATAGAATTAAAATAAGTAAATAACTCCAAGCATAAAATTACTACAATGTATTTGTTTAAGTTTTATTTTTTAGCGTGGGTTAGTCCAAAATACTGCATCCCTTTGGTGTATTCTTAGTATTGTGTTCAAGGATCGTATCCGAAGTTTGACAGAAAGGGGCGAGAAGATGCAAATGATTCTGACAGTACAAAATGTACATAATTTACAAGTATTATTCCCATTTAAATGTCAAGCTACATGATCTGTCACATCCTTTTCTCCAGGAACACAAAATCACTAAATAGATCAAAAATACAGTGCTAATATCAGAAATTATCTTTTTTTTTTCATGAGAATGAAATATTAACCGACAAAATAAGGTTGTTAGTAAAAAAATATATCCGAATTTTGCAATGTCCGACTACTTCTCACTCAAACAAATATTAATATCATAATTCAATGAATCTAGAAAAAAACGCTTTATTTTAAAACAAAGGTGGCTATTTTTACAAGCATATTTCAAGAAAATCTGATCGAAAAAAATATAATATTTACTTAAAATTTGCAATTAATAACTAATTAAGCGAGTACCTTGTTCAAGTAAGTTAGACAACTCTTGCTAGAAAGACATACCACTAATTTCCAAATACAACGTACGATAATTTGTCCGGAACTTCTTTAGTTAAGTGACGGCTCCGAACGGATTAAGACATGATCCGTTGGAGCCAACCAAATGTATTATAAATCAGTGCTACAATTAAACATGTCTCGCTATAACTCGGTAATAAATACGCAAATTATGTAAGTGTTGAAGAAAACGGTGAAAATTAAATACAATTTAGGCAAAAATGAAAATTCTAACGACATGTTCTGTAAAATTCTTTAGCTTGTCAATAAAGGATATAAATATTTCAGAAAATAATGTTTTTTAAAGCCATATCTGTTGAAAAAAACATACATTGCTTGTTATGAATATTTGCCGATAAACGGTGCCATTTTGAAAATGCATCAATTTAAACATCAAATATTTGTAATTATCGCATGGCTGTGAGCTTTTCCTTTGTTCTTTCTAACCCATTATACTCAGTACACTTCAATGAGCATTTCAAAACTGTATTGATATATAACAGTACAGTTTTTTCATTGATTCATATAGGAAAAAAACTCGACTGTTATATATCGGTCGAGTTTTTTTCGCACCTTGTATATATCAATACAGTTTTTTCATAGAGGCAGTAGCAAAAAAAACATAAAATAATAAAAAATGAAATCAATAAAATAAAATAAAATAAATATATAAATACAACGAAAAATATAATCAAAGATAATTAATGAAATGAAAAAAAGCCCTTAAATCTTAAATCAATCTTGGTAACAGTATACAATCCGCCTCTTATATTGGATGTCTTTTGTTTATTTTTTTTGCGGCAGCGAAAACAACTTGAAAAACTGCCTTATGATAAATAACGGTAATGTAGCTAACGATTAATTTATTTATTTGTTTCTATACAAAAAAAAACATTATGCCATTGCGATAAAACAGTTATAGTACATGAAACTCGTTAGTTACGGGGGTATAACACTGGCTGGGGCGACATCTCGGGATGTTTCTGCAAAAAAAATTGTCTCGGCCTAACGGCCTCGCCATTTTTTAGCAGAAACATCCCTTGATGTCGCCCCAGCCAGTGTTATACCCTCGTAACTAACTCGTTTCATATACTATAACTATTACATAACATCGTAAAATGTTATAAAGATTTTACATGATACGATTAAATAACATTTCTATTTGAAAGACCATGCTCTCAAATAACTTCTGTCCCAGTCTCAATTAAAATATAGTTCAGTTGCCATACCCACATAACTCACATCCGTACAATAGTCATGGTATATCTGTGCAACATTTTTTAATTTTTATCAGGCTAAACAGTTCTTGCACCCCTATTTTTGCCTTTAAAATGTAACCACTTTTACTGTTAATAAAGAATACCAAAATATACTTAATTATACTCATATCTGCCATTTCTTATTCTTATCTTTGTTTTATCTTTTTTCAATTCAAAACTTTACTGCATACTTGTTTATAGCAAAGTGCATGTTATCACGTACATTAATGGCATCAGTTAAAATTATTTAACAAACAAGCAACACACATGGATTTTATCAGAAGAATATAAAACTTCTTATAAATAAGTATTCTTTTTTCATAAATAAAAATTGTAAATACTGAACACATTTGATAAATTTAATTTTTTAGAAAGCTAGCATGATATATAAATTTGCCAAAACCATTGATGGCGGTTTATTAAGACATTATCATTGATTCGGACATAACTTTAATTAAAGCTGTCAGACATTAAGTTGATGAATTTTCGTTTTGTTTTGTCGAACAAGTGTAGTATTACTCATTAAGTAAATCGGAAATCTTATTCGGGAAAATCAGAAAAACTGAAAAAAACTGATGCTCACTGTATATTGATTAAATTGGTAATTTTTCTTACACTAACGTTAAATGTCTGGAATGTTACTGTATCGTTCATGTTCTACAGTTCAATTGTGGGACGAAGTGCTGATTCTAGATAAAATTATTCTATACGTAGGTTCTTTCATAACAATTTTTTTCTATATAGACTGTATGTTTTGAACAAATTATCAAGTCATACCATTGTTCCGCGATATAAGCTAAGAATTTAATATTTCATTAAATGAAAATCTATTTGCGTGTTAAACTGGTTTTTCCAGGCCAATTAAAATTTGTTTAACGCTGTAAGCCTAATTTATACAATAATACAACAGACCATGGTCAGCATATATCTTTAAAAAAAGAAAACTTTTTTTTAAATATTTTAAAACAATAATACTTTTGTCCAAAATTAATATTGTCATTTATTTTTTGTTCAATATACATTGCCACACTGGTGTTCGCCCAAGTGCGGAAGTTTGTCCAAAACTAGCTTACAATACGTCTATAACTTCGACAGCCGGTGCTGTGTGTTCCATAATAATTTAGTGTTGGTGATACAAGAGAATAGAAATGTTTTGCTGGCTACAAAACAGGTATATCTGATGCTTGTTATGAAGCGTGAATCACGCTTATTGTGCTATTCGCTCCCGTGTTCTAGTCCAATTTAGTGCTCGCCAATTTTTTTAAGCCAATCACCGACGAGGATTTTTCAAATTTTCAGGTCACAAATCTTAATAGAACAGATTTTATATAAACTGGACGTTTTATATTATAAAACGCAAGTGGGCGGAGCACTAAGCCGGTTAGAGTGCATATTGGATGTTCTTCGTAAATAAGAAAGCTACAGTCGCTTCGCAAGCTCCGCTCCTTTTTAGCTTTCTTATTTACGAAGAACACCCAATATGCACTTTAACCTATACTTACATTTTTACCTGGGACAGAATATTCAAAATATTCTGTCCCAGGGGTTTATGTACGTGTACACATACGAGTTTAAAGGATTCAACAACTTCTAACTTTGTGTTATTTCGTTAAAAAAAATCGTAATTAAAAATATATTTATTTTGGTTTTTATTAATATTTAATAATCTGCCTTACATTTTAAGCATTACTGAATTATTCTACTTTAAGTATTACGGAATTATTCTTTTTAAAGTATTACGAAATTATTCTATACAATAACGTTTGTAACGTTTTACGGTTTTTGGAACAAAGTAAAACATCATCTGCAAACAACAGTAAACATATTTGAACATTCCAAGATTAATAATTCCGTTTAAATTATTTAGTGTATTATCCAAAATATCGGTAAGGAGAAAAAAGGCTCAGAACTGCTTGTTTTACTCCGAAATATGAATTGATATGGGTTGACTAAACGTAATTATAACGAATTGATGATTTAATGCTCAAAGGTATACATAGACCATAATGCAATAATAAATTTTAAATTTCAAGCAATAGAATTACAAGATCAACTGTTTCAAAAAAATTTCCCAGTCGAGAAAAGCAACGGTCATTTTTTTAAAAAATTATTTGATAATGATTTCGTTATAATGGAATAGGGTACAATTAAATAGGGTGGATTGACTCTGCTGAAATCCGTATTTTATTATCAAATTGTCGTGTTTCCCCCTTTTTAATAAAATGCACGTTACTTACAATATATGAATGATAAAGGGCCTACTTTTTTGTCTTCTTGGCTTTCGCCTTCAAATACAGGTATGATTAGTCTTTCAGTTCAGTTTTCTGGGAAGTATCTTTATTAAATATTTTGGAATAGTGAACATGTCGAGAAAATCATGATGTATATATTACAGATCAATATGTTGATTTATATGTTGTCATTACATGTATATAACTGCATTCTTATATATTTATCTAAATTAAATACTAGTTTATATATATGTTACCTCCTCCCATATAGATTATTTTTGGAATGTATGGGTGTCACATTGCATTTTGTTAAGTAAATGTACTGTTCTTTGTATGTATATATTTGTGCTATGTTTATCCTCATCGACTTTTCAGCCTAATGGAATGTTGAATAAACTTCATCATCATATGATAGGATGAGATAATGTAGGATGAATATTTTTTTTTTCTGAAATGATAGTTAAATTTCCTCGACTTTTATCATTGTTCTTTGCAAATACTGCATATGTTATTTCCGATTCTGTGAATTCCACCCTTTATCTTGAATACAATATTCTTCATTTTCGTCAATTTCATCTCCATTTGATTCTGGTCGTACACCTTATAAATTACTAAAACAAATTTTCTAAATGTAGAAAATTAACAGGGTCAGAGGAATTGTTTCTGTTTTACGATTCAACTATCTTCCAGAACGATTTTAAATTAGCTTTATCGAGAATATATTTGTAATGCGATTGCCCTCTAAGCGTTTATGTCTTATATACGTTTCATTTGTATTTATAACCGTTTCTGATACATGTATGTATGAAAAACAACTCATTCATTTTCAGAATTTTGATTTCGCAGGACTTTATTTTTGCTTTGTAAAAATGCTTCTTTGCGCCTGTAAACATTCAGCATCAAACCATTTTTTTTGGGTTTGGTATAAAATTTAGATTTTATAACTGGGTCAGTTTTCAATGTAAATCTTAAGATGATTTTATCCTTACATGGCTTTTTTTCCAAAGCTAAAGATATAATATTCCCAATTCTTCAGAAGAACTTAAAAAACATCTTTTAAAAATTCTTAACTTAAATATCTAATGACTAAGATTATTGGACGTTTAAAAGGTCATCGTAAATGTTTTTTTTTATGATTATAAACTAAGATGATCAAATTATATGAATAAAAATTAAAAGGGCCAGAATACAGCTGCATGTTTTATACTGAGCCGGGAACCTCACATGGGAACAATGCGCATACACCGCCTCAAACGAGACAGTCTGATATGATAGCTTACATTACATATAGAATCACATCTATGATATGAGCCGCGCCATGACAAAACCAGCGTACTGCGTTTGCGACCAGCATGGATCCATACCAGCCTGCGCATCCGCGCAGTCTGATCAGGATCCATGCTGTTCGCTTACAAACACTATATAACAAGTAGAGACACTGATAGCGAACAGCATGTATCCTGATCAGACTGCGCGGTCGCAAACCCATTATGTTGGTTCTGTCATTTCTTATTTTATGTAATATTGTAATTTGCCGGATGACCGATCATTTTAGATGACCATCGGTATATCATTTTTAACTACCTTTAAGGTATTTGATACACTCTAGATCTCACCAAGCATTAACTCATTGAAAACCTATATATAGGACAAATGTAGTTATATCTTCGATGGGCAAGTTAGATAAATATATAAAGGTACTTTTGAACACAAAGGTCTTGTGGAAAATATATGGGTAACTGGGTAACAATACAGTCCAATATAGTCCACTCTAACATAGCGCCAAAATCATCTTTTCTTCTTTAATATATGACTTTAATAATATGTATGTAAAGGTCATTCACCATTGTTTTAAAGTACTATGTTAATATCATATACGAACGTCCGTGTCGGTTTCGAATATCTATCAAAAATTACGAACAGTTAAAAAGGACCAAGACATATTACTAGAACCATTTTGCACTAAGAATATAAGACATGTTATATTATGTGTTAATATATATTACTTACAAGGGAAGATATTTGTTAAAATTTCATATCCTGATTCAGTTTCCTGTACTGACTTTTGTCTGTTTTGTCTGGCACTATTTAATTCAGCAACACCATTTAGGTTTATTGAATAAAATATATAAACATGCTTATAGCAAAATTAACTTGTTTAATATACTTCCTATAGTTTCTTCATTTTTTACATAGCAAAAGAAGGGGCATCTAATATAATGAACAGTATTTCTTTCAAACTTTGCATGCGCTAAAAATAAAGGATGAAGGTTCGATAGAAGAACCGATACCGGTAGAAAATAAGTAACCTAAACCAGCTCTGATGTTGATATGTTATATTTCTCCATTTTCCTCTTTTGTTTACATGCGCTAGTTTAATGTTTCCTTTGTCTAATTAAAAATGAAGAAACTATAGAAATACCTGAAAACAAGTGATCCATCGGAAGCATTAAAAACAGCAAAATTACATGAAAATTGCAGATTCGGTTTGATTGAGTCTATACATGAGGGATAATGAAAAAGTGCAACATCCCTCAGGCCCCTAGCTAGTACCGACTTGAGCGGTAATTAATCAATTCTCAACACTAGAACGTGCTGGACTCAAAGATTCCGAAGGACTAAAACAATAACACTAAAGTGAAGAATGGGGAAACTTTTTACGGATGCCACACATCACTTGACACCTGCTGTGGTGATGTATAAATATCTGGAAACAAGTGAGCCCCCGGAAGCAGTACAAAACAGCAAAATTACATAAAATTGCATAGAAAGTGTCTTTAAAAAACGTGATCTCTTTGCTGAAGATAAAGTAGAAGTATTTCGTACAATATGTATTGGCATTCTACATTTCTAGTTTAAAAAGGAATAGAAAAATATTTAAATCACAGTACATATCGTGCATTTATATTATGTAAATCATTACATAGCATTTTGACTTGTAGATACCCATGCATAATGAAATGATAAAATAAAATTTGAAAACTTGCAAAATTTGTTTTTGATTTTATTGGCATTTTAAGATGTGTCTCTGTGAATTTCATACGGCATGTCTACACATTGCAATTATACTGTTGTAGTAAAGTTTTGGCATAAATTACCTGGTACCCCGGTCTAGACTTCATACCAATTTCACACAGTTTCGGCCATGCATTAACCAAATAGCGCAAAATTGAAGATCCTATCTCATATAGATATGCCATATATGGATCATATTTAGGTCACCTTTGCAATATAAAATGCTGCTCTACGAACTGAAAGGCCGGTAAACTTTCAGCGTTTTCTCGGCGGGCACCTTATAATTTTACGGAATTTAATTTCTTTCCGCTTTGGAGAAGAAGTTGTTCTGCATTAGCATGTGTCGTCTGCTTTTTGTCGTCTGTTTAGCAATGTCTGGAATCATCACAAAAGTGAACTGCAGTGCAGGTTAGACATTTTTTTTGATATTTGAGTTTTTTAGAAACTGAATATTGAGATATGTTTTACTTTGACATGTTATTATTTATTCTACAATCTCTAACTTGATTATAGAAATGATTATGACAAATATCAATTAATATCGTTATGTATTATATACCTTTAAATGAAATATTGAGAAATATTGATGAAATAAATGAATATTTCAAGTGAATCATCTTTTCCGTATTTCACTGGTGTCTTGCCAGACTAATTCAGCAATACACAAAATTAAAGGGGAAGTCTTTCAAATCGCAACAGTAATTAGTTCTATTTTCTGCCTCACAGTCGAATGATATATGTGATTATGTGATGAGTCTGTGTGTATGATGATGCGTTTTTTTTATCAACATTTTATAAAATATTTTTATCAGTTACATAACTGTAGTAATAAAGGAAACTCTTGATGGACGTATTTTTTGCAGCTGGTTAACAAGTATTAAGTTAGAATTCATTAACGTGTTCTAAAAATTATGTTCAGATACTGATTTCAACACAGATATATATTGTATATATATTTGCGACGTTACTAGCGGGAAAAAGTGACGAATAAGAATGTCGATGTGACATTACAAATATTTTACCTACAGAATATTTTAAATCTTTAGAATAAAAAGTATAAAATATTTCATAACTCATGATTATTTTGCTTGGCGAATAAAAGTTCTATGAAAACTATAACATAGACAAGTTTGTTGTCTATTAAATTTAACTAAAAGTAATGAAGAATTGTTTCATTTTCAGTTATTATTTTATATTGCTTGATTGTATCAACCTGTCAATTGCATACTGATTTTACCGTCAATGCACACAATATATAAATCTTCGATATATTTTCGGTACGTTCCCTGAGAGATACGCTGTAATTTATTACTTAATTTGATATGTGTCAAAAGGACAAACTACGGTTTCATAATTTTTGAGTGCCCCACGTGTTCTAAGATCGAGACCGAGTAGCTATATAGGTCAATGTTTTTTCTTATTTTATATTGTTTTATTTTGATATTTTGCTCTTGTTTTGGTAAAGTCTATACTCTTTTTAAATACATGTAATAAATGTTTAAAATGAACTGGAATAAAAACAATAAATGGCATTTCAATACAGTAAAATACAAATCGAGACAAGACGGTGTTTCTAAATTGCTTCATATCCGTTTAGACAATTATGCAAGCACTTCCATTAAAATATACTGCAAAAATAAAGAAAGCGTGGGTAAAAAAAATGGCAACAGTAGGGATCGGACCCCAGACATCTCACATATCAGACAATCACTCAAACGACTGTTCTATTGCGGATGAAACGACTACATTTACATTAAGCTGGTCTGACTTTCAAAACATTAGAAATATACTCCATATCAATTATCATAAAACCGAATAGATCGAATATTTCAATGAGTGCTTAAATGTCTTCATAATAGACAGGCCAATAAAATCAGACGATAACATAAAAAGTACATTATATATTTTGTAGTTATTAAAACTAAAAAGTGTTACGTTATACATGGATATATACACACTATAGTTTTTTATAGCCGGTCTCCTTCGGAAATAGGTTAGTTTATTTTTAACCAAATATAATATCAATATACTATTATTTACACAATTTAATTTTGACACTGGATAAAAATCGCACTTTCAATGAATTCATTTAGTATTTAACACATGTACATTGTAAAAATGGAAATAAACTGCTCGAACCAGATCTAGTTAATTGACAGAAATCCTACTTGATCTGTACTCACCGATTTTTTTGTTGGGGGTGGAGTGGGGGGTTGGGGGGTTCCTTTTTTGTTATAATGACGAAACGTATATCATTCCTAAACGAGCATGAGTGAATGAGCTTGTTACAACACTGTCACGTTGTTAAATGAATATAATCTATAACAATATCTCCTAGTTAATGATACATGTGATTGAAATTAAACACCTTAAGGGGACAGTTTAATATTGGTCAGCTTTTACAAAAATCAAATGCTCCGAGATAGAAATGTAACAATTTAAGATTAAATGACCCGACTGTAACTAGAAGATATTGGGCGTGTCTCTGACTTAGTGGGTTCTTTTTTTTTGTTAAAATTTTTGACAAATGATTGTTTAACAAAGATTCAAGCAAAGTCTACTACAGTAAATGCTATGACATATTCATGGAAAGTACATCATTCCTGACGTCTAAAACTTACAGATTTCGGAACAGGTTACATGTGCTTGATTTTTTTATCAGAGAATTTTGTACGAGTTATGTTTCGTTTCCTTTTATGAAATGATAAAACATTGTACGGCAACATAAACGTCAAAATAAATTAATAAATGTACATTATATTTAATATTTATGAATTGTATACATTGTATATAAAATAATCAAGTACTTGATTTATGCTTATATAATTATATTATTCTCAACATATTTAGAATAAATGCTTAAAAATATTTTATTGCTATTTCTTGACTAAAGGTGAACAATTTACATAGAACGTGTACAGTTCACATTTATTAAAAGCTGAATGTATATTGATGTAAGTCCAAAAATGTACGTTTCATTGTACCCTCGGCTACAATACATGAATAAATTTCTGCCAGGCTTTTAAAGAAACAAGATCATTTAAAACGACTTCTACCTTTTGGAATTCACTATATAATTTTGTGTGTGAAAATTTTGCGTTCTTCCAAACGGGTTACCGATAGCAACTATATGTATATACAAAATGTACATGCATATACGTTTCATACCTTAAACAAAACATTAGATGTACGAAGCCGTATACTATGAAAACAATAATTAGGTAGGACAATTTTCGGACATGAATTCATGAATTGGTAATGAAGATACAGAAAAAATACTGTCCCCCAAGGGTAGATGTAAATGGCATATCTAATTCAGCAACACGATAGACTGACATGTAAGTGTCAAATAAACAAATTTAGTGCACAAATATCAGTTTTAATCAGTAATTAACAATCAATTGAATCAGTGAATGCCAATTCTCTGTCATTTGATTTACGTAAGATAGCAAGAATATCTAAACGGAGTATGGCGGCCAGAAAATGTCGCCCAGTACGTCATATCCGGGAAGTTATAATAATTAATCACAGATTTCATTGTTCACGATGCCGTGGATCAAATACCACTTTAACTGATTCTTTTAAACATTTTATATTTTTATTTTTCAGTCGTTCAGGTCTTTTTTAGTTTAAAAAAAAGAAAAAAAAAGAAAAAAAAACAGAAAAAAAACCAAACAAACCAAAAAGTTAAAAATCACAAATGATTGATTAAAACATGGTATGTCTATGTTTATTTACATATATATCTATATTTCAGGAAAGGTCTGGACCTACAGAGGTAAACTTGGTGAGTATTTATAGTCATGAACCATTTTCTTATCATCATTGTCAGAAATTAGAGCCATATGTTCAGTGAACTGAGGTGTGCGAATGGCAAAACACTTTTCATTTTCCGGGTTTCCACCAGAACTTCGCATCGAACTATACAGAAGAATTCTTCTTATTTTATCCAAATCATTCCGTTGATGAAAGCAATAAAGAGATGTGATATTTTTCAGTAGGAAAAAATTACCGTAGAAATAAAGATAAACTCTATGTTTAAATCAAAAATCAAAATTTCCTGTGTATTAACCAATAATAGGATGCTACGTCATTGTGTACCTGCAAAAAAAAGATATGTTTTAATTCTAAGAAATCGTTAGAATTTCCAAAAAATATGTAGCGCACTGAAATTGACTCAAGTACCTGATTTAAAAAAGTTAAACTTTAAACGTTTTTAAAATCATATCAATTACTAAGCCAATCTTGGTGCGCTACATTATTTTTTGATATTCTTAAGATTTCTTTGAATAAAAATATATTTTACCTCCCAATGGAAAATGTCTGATGCAGGTGGGCGATGACGTAGTATCGTCTATGATAATAAGTGGGTTAGCCAGCCCATCTGTACTTCTGATAATCTAGATTACTAAAATGCTTTATTACACTCGTGCGCTGTAGTATATGTGAAAAAAGAACGTTTTTGTACGTTTTTCATATTTTTATTGATTAACTTATGGTCAGTTAGACTTTGCATTATTTTGCGGAAGGCATGTACAGAAAAAAAACCTGACTCTTCCTCAGGCTATATTATCCCGTATGTCCCGTCAGCAACTTGTTAAACTTCTAAATCTCTGATATTTCAAATGTTTATGCCCCTAATAGCTTTTTGAAGCTAAAATGAATACAAGCATTTATTCTTTTTGAAGTATTTCAGAACGTTTTTACTGATATTAGATAGCAAATAAGTAAATCAATCACATTATTAACCTCTTGGCGAACCTGTCAACTTAGTTTTGTATTTTTAGGTCCTGACCACTGGCATCTGGACTACCCTCACTGTGGCGGCGTGAAACAATCTCCCATAAGTATTCAAACTAATGAAGCTATTGTTGATGTCAACAGACTCAAACCAATTGTCTTAAAAAACTACGGTTCTGTTCCCAATAACAACTACACTATTGAAAACAATGGACATACAGGTACGTTAATTGTAGTGACTGGTTTCTTTATATAAAAAGTAATATGTTTTCCACACAGAGATTTAGAGAGTGGAGCCCCAAACGCCTTAATTTCCAAATAAAATGTATATTTGTCAATTCCAGCTCATATACTTATCATATATATCAATACAACTTATACGCTGTTTTGAAAAAAATCGTATTTCAACGTCTATTACATATTATCCCAAAACAACCTTTTTTCAATCACAACCTATATTCGAACTCATTCTTAATTCTGCGGCGCTGATATCATGTCAGACTAAATTGCATAAAGTCGCATGTTGCATTAACTTCTTCTCCTGCAGAAATCACAGTATATAAACGATTTGAACCCCAACCGGATCTTGTGAGAAGAATTCAGCATCTAAACGTACAATCAGGCGTAATGACACATTAAACTATTAAAAATCGGCTTGAATTTAATATGTTACGGTATGTTAACATTTGATTCATATTAAGAGATAATTTATCTTTGCTTAAATATACAACCATAACCTTCTTCGTAAAATATATGCGCATAAAACGCTGTGCTCTTCGCCTCATATTTTGTTTATGTCAACACACGCCGATTACACAAGCAAATGTATGCCTAAAATTGTTTTATTTCACTATAACTCATATCTGAATCTTAACTTTATTGTCTTAACCTCATGTTACCGGACAGACACTTGTGAAAATATCTTTGAATATTGATAAAACATAGTAAATAATAGAGGCGACATTTCTGATAACTGTACCCGTCTTGCTAAAACAATTTTAATGATCTGTACCCTACTTGTGTTTTCACTGAACCATTACTTGCGAGTCACTTTTGATGATTTTTATTGTGTTTTTGTCGTATGTTCTTAATTTTGATGTGCAGAATATGAAGTTATTGTGTCACAAGAGAAGGGTACATGTTTTAGTTCTATGTAAGTAACTAAAACTGCATATGAATGGAGGTGCTTCGTCATGTTTTCACTGTCTACGAAAATACCGGCATGAAGTGGCTGTTTATACGAATCAGAAAGACAATTGTTTCTTGAAAGGAATAATTAACTAACGACATTGTTGTTAGTTTTGACGTGACCGTTATATAACGTCACGTATAAAAAAAACTCGAAATGTCATTACAAGATTTTTTTGCAGATTACTTATTTCAACATGTTGAAAGCTTTTCACCTACTGTTGATTTCATTCTGCCTTTTTAAACACTGTTTTATATTCTCAGAAATTAATTGACTTTCTTTTTCTGACATGTACGACTTTTATTCTTGTATATCTTTCCTTTCATAGACGTCGACAATTTTGGCATCTTTTTAAACGGAGAATATTCGGGAAATTTTGAAATTTTAATTGTCAGTGTTTCAGCTATTGGTGTTATAAACTTCTTTTTTTTCGTTTACGTTATTGGCTGTGACGCTGAAATTTTTTAAGTAGAAAATTTTATTCTTCTTATTTTCAAGTTGCAGTCTGGATGGCGAATAATTAGAGGTCAATGATGTCATTGAAATTCGTAGTCTTTACTGAACAGTATATGCAGTTGTATTCTTGCATGGTGATGCGAAAGAAAAATATACATAGCATATTTTCTTAAACAAATGATTAACAATAGTATCAGTTAAACCAATTCTCGGTAAATACCTTATATCCCACCTTATATACTAAAATTCTATTATAATCATTATATTTTCTGGCAATAATTGATACAAAATCGCAATGAACGTAAACTTTTCCTCCAATAAATCTTTAAAAATACTCACAAGTCAGGGTACAGATAAAATTCGTAAACTCACAAGTAGGGTTCACAATCACCAGCAAGTAACGTTCAGTTTACGGAAATGACCTCCTTGGTGAAACTCTTAAATTCTAGTTCAAGATACAGCAATATTTTATGCATATGACTAAATTATCGTTTGTTATTGATTAATTTAGTAGTCCGATATCAAAATTCAATGTTTAACTAAATCAACATTGGAATAAGACGGATTTTTGTTCGTGTTCAGTGTTGATCACATGAAAGCTGTTCGTGAGTTTCGATTATTTTATAGCCTTCTTGCTAACGTTTATGTTTTGCATAACTTAGACGTTTAATAAAGTTTCTCTCTTATAATATAAATATAGATTTATTAACCTAACGTCCATCAGTATCAATATAAATACCAATATCGTAAACAAGTGAAGTGGCAGAATATGGCTGACACTAAAATCTTCTCACAAGATCCGGTTGGGGTTCAAATCGTTTATATACTGTGGAAATGCCATACTAGTACTTGATTTTAATTGTTAGATATTATCAGAAAAAAACACAATAAGAAACTGTTTGTTTCAAGTGTAACAATGTAAATTGTTACACTTTATAACTATCTTAAAATAGTCACTTGTTTAAAATGGTTCATGCAAGTTTTTTTTATGAAGTATTGCCTATGGAGTTTTACTATTTACCTCATTGAAAAATAAGTAGTTAGATAATGTACTATTAAAAATAAATGGAGGCCCTTATTAATAAAATCTTAATCTGTTATCAAGTTATTTCAATAGATCTTTTGTAAGTGATAACAGCTGACAGATCTAGACAAGTTTCCATATTTGGTAATATTATAAAGTGATGAAGGTAAAATGACCGTCATGGTTGGATGCATTTATCAGTCAGTCAGTTCAAGTTTATTTATACTCGGCGCCGGTATAACCATCTGTCCGAGAATATAGCATCCGTGCCGGTCCACTAGGGTAGTCACATCGGGGACGTCTTTTTCAAGCTGAATCTTCCTGAAGCCTATTCTTCGTTCGTTGGTGGTAGAGGAGTACGACAATACTGGCCAGGCATCAAGTTCCATACTGGACGATAACAAAAACGGCTCTCATTAGCGCCAACCCTCCAGAGTTAGTCACGACAGGTCAACCAATCACCTCTGGTACTTAAGATGACTTGACCTTGACCTGCCGTGTGCCTTCTCCGCGACGTGCACGCCTCTGGAGGGATTTGGAGAAGTATGCGTTTATCTTTTTACTCCCCCCAATTTAGCGTACTATGATGTGACACCTTCAACTGCCTTTTGTGCACATGAGCAGATGCCCTATCAATGCAGTGTAGTGTAAATTACGTTATAACATTTAGTGTAAGTTTTTAAAAATCTTGAAAAAGCTGTTGGAATTCGTTGAATAGACAGACTGTTGTGAACTACAGTCATTTGTAGCCTTGATTTATCTTAAACAAATTCTCCTGTTGTTTGAAATTAGGTTGAAATATTCCTATGTATGACCAGAGTGGGTCATATCGTGTTTTCTAAGCAAGATCAAGCCTAGTTGACAATGTACAAACCTTAAAATGAATGAATGATGATAGATGCATAAATAGCTAAAATGAATTTAAAGCATCATTTCCCCTTCAATTTATTATTAGCTAAGAGCCCAAGAACAGCTTAACTGATTGAATATTGATTGCTCTAGGATGTATTACAATTATTAATAACCTTGAAATATGAATTTCAAGTGTCTGCATTGTGTGTTCCCATACTCTAGTGTAATATATGAACTGTAGATACATATCAAAAGATGTCGAATCCTGAAATAAACACATAATTTCAACATCAATCTATATAAACTAGGATCTCAGACACTTACGTTTCAACAGACTTTAAATGGTGCCATTTATATTCTTACGACATGTTTATTTTGGTTTATAATAGTACAAATGTACAATTAAAGTTACGCATTTCCTTAAAGTAAACACGACATCTCGATTCAATATTGATAATTTGTTAACTTCCCTTATCAATGCATTTTATTCTCTTATTACATTTACAGTAAAGGTAACCTTAAACGAGGACTACAATGAAATAAGTGGCGGTGGACTTCCAGGAACGTTTGTGGCCAGTCAATTCCATTTTCATTGGGGCACGACAGACAAACGAGGTTCTGAACATGACGTGAACAGAATTCACTTTCCAATGGAGGTAGGGCGGTGATGTATATTCTCTGTCGCCCTGAAATCTTTTCTCGTCGTGTTTTCATTATTGTGTTTTCATTGTTGTTTTCTTTATTGTTGTTTCCCCCTTATTTTTTTCAAGTCATGTAATACTTTTTTCTGACATTATTAGGAGTGAAGTGAAGTGCTGTATGGCGGCTATAAATCTTGCATACGTTACTTCATTGTTTCAATATATAGATTTAAATTTTTTCCTGCTCTTCGGAATCATTGCTCCCAATACTTTTATTGTGTTGTAGATTGAATACAGCTTTAACCAGTGTGAGGGATATAAGACTTTCAAACATCTCTAAATCAATCAGAATATGCAATGTCCACTTTAAACAATTGTTTTTATTGCTCTCTGGAGATCTCCTGTTTTCCAAACTTTGATGTGAGGTTTCTTGAATAATCTTTTCTTTGTATTTTCTTTATTTTTGAAATTAAAGTCATTGTACATATTTAACCACCACAAGTAAATAAAACGTTAACTGGTTTTGTACTTTTCAGATGCATATAGTTCATTTTAATAAGAAATACGACAACATATCAACAGCAGTGGACAAAGATGATGGATTGGCCGTCCTCGGCTTCTTCTTTCAGGTAAACGAGTTTTAAGAAGATATGTTTTTACGAATGCAAAACTAATTTGACATTAAAATTGCTTAAAAGTTAATATGTCACGGTTGTGTGATCAAACAAGGTTGTACTCGTATTTAAATTTTGAAATACAACATTTAATCATTGCATGTTATACAGTACAACGGTGGTAGCTGTTGCAACAATACGATACACTATTTCTTATGCTGGTGACACTTTCTTTGATCATGACTTTACTGAAGTCGTAAAAAATAACAATAAGTCAATAAAATAGTAAAATAATTTTAAACATTTTATTAATTATTCTTGTAGATTGGCCGTTACAACAAGCATATGCACGAAGTAATTCGCCATTTTAAACAGATCAAATATAAAGGTAACCTTTAACAGAGTGTTAAACATATTAAAGACGGAATATTTTGTAAAAACATATTCATGTATTCAAACATCAAACATAAATATATGGATATCGCAAACTCTATTCAGTTAGAACTGTTCATGACAGGTAATTAAAAATCAATGAAACAGTGGTTGTAACGATTGAGTTTTTTCTATTTTGAAGTAAAATGTGTATGGATATTACACAATTCAACAGTGTCGATAATAAAATACCCTCTTTCTGATTCTTATGACGCCCTTTCTCTAATTATGACTAAATTCACTTAGTGTCTTATCTTCAGGAACACATGTGGATATCAGCCCAGAACCACTAGCAAGATTAGTACCAGATGACTTGTCCAAATTCTTTAGATATGAAGGCAGTTTGACAACCCCTCCTTGTTACGAGAGCGTCACTTGGACTTTATTCAACAAAACCATTGAAATTGCTGAAGAACAGGTAGGAAACACTTTAGGACTTATGTTCTGAATATCATTTAGCTTCACGTTGTTATACCGGCCTTTTATCAATAACACTGTGGCATTTCTTGATATAAATTTTTATCTAAATAAGATAAGATATTTCTGTTTAAAACAAAACGGTTCTTTTTAATATATTTCAGCTACAAGATTTCCGACAAACAATTCTAGAAAACACAGATGGTGACAATGGCATACCCATGGACATTTCAGACGACTTCCGCCCAGCTCAGTGCTTGTTCCGGCGTAGAGTATATGCCAGTCACCCGTCCCTCCGCTACAGTGATCACTTTAACACCGATTTTAATAACTTAAACTCATCGAAAACTGTTGTAGGGCAACTTTCATTTTTGATGCTAGTTTTAACAATGATCAATTTATTATAAAAGCATTTTAATACCATATAGCGACTATGACCTTTTATGAACAGCATCGAGCGATTTTGGTCCACGAGGAATGGCAAAATGTCAGCAACAATACTTCATAAAGTCACGTTTTGATTATAAATTTTTGTTGTTTGTCATGTCAAAAAAGGTATTGGTGTGAAAATTGACTTGTCCTCAATAACAGTAAGAAAATATACTATAACGATAGCATCACGTTAAGTTAAAGGGTTAAAATAATATGTGCATCTCACGGACCGAAATTGTTAAACGAGAATTGTTATGATGACTATTATTGATGACCATGGTATTCTGGCTTTGCTAGATCTATCAAAGATGTAATGACTCCGAATATTTGAAAGTCTTGAACAATTTTGTGGTACGTGTTTAGTCACATACATGTATATGTAATTTTATCATTTGTGTTTTTACATATTTGTCTTGTTGGGGGTCTTAATTCGCTAAATTATTGTTCAAAGTTAGATTATGAAGATCTAATATGATAATGTATGAATACAGAAAACCAAGGCATGCAGACAGATGAGATTGGCCAATAGCATTGCAAAGAAAAACATTTCTTATTAATTGGAGTGTTTATTAGTTAGTTCATTTTATTTTAATTGTACTTATTCAGTACCAATTACACACAATGCATGTTTAGTTAAGGGCTGAGATGACCGTTTGTTGAGTGCTTTTTTAGAACAATGAAAACCATACATAACACTACAATTTGAAAGAGTAAATTTGGCTAAATAGACCATTGTATCGTTACAAAATACAAATACAGCTATAACAACAACTAAGTTTTGTTGTATTGTTCGCTTTTGAATTTACTAAACTTATTCATTCGATGAAAACGTTCACTTTGTTGCCAACGTTTACATTTTGCAAGTTATTCATGGTTTCATAGGTAAAAACCATAAAAACAGATTCAAAGGGATTTAAAGGCCCCCATCAATGCTGAAAATTAAAACCTGAAAATGACATTCACCTACAATATATACTAGTACTAGTAATCTCACAGAATATCAAACTAAATTTTCTACAGAGAATCAGTACACTCTCACCTGTAAAGTTCTAAATGAGACTCAAAATGTAACATCTGTTAAAGACTAAAAAAAAAAGTCATCTGACATAAAACGAGAAAATATTCCCCCACCGTATCTAAAATATACCTATTAGTAAAAAATGAATAAAAATGAAATTGTTTTTACGTACAAGTGTCAGGCAGAAAAGTTCTTATAGTAAATGACATTTCCTTTTTTTAGATATATATTGTCATATCATGACATAAGTACAGTCATTTGGTTATACATTTGAAGTATGGTACTAAGAATAACGGTTATATATCGCAGGTATAAAGACGCATTTACGTTTTCCTCATATAAAAACAAGAGGGAATGGCAGTTACCAGATACTATAAAATATCTTAATATCTTAAATGCTTGCAGCGCTTTGATTTAGTAGATACATGCAACGTAAACTCTTATTGATTAAAATCCACCTGATGACAAAAACGAATAAAAAGAAATTAAATATAGATGCGGAGCGAATGAACCACTCCTTAACTGACTTTATTTTCATTGGCTGTAGTAACTTCCCGCTACAACTACGCATAATCACGGTGTCTAGGGTTTACGCATCATTTTTACGCGTATCGCCCTGTGCGCAGTACCGTATCATTCTTACGCAATCTTCTGAAAAGTGCAAGAGGCTAGTTCAGAAATGCGAAAATTTCTTACTAACTTGATTTTATTTAGACAGTTTGCATACATCACGAAAGTTTTGAATGTTTCATCTGTATGTGCAAAACATTTTGCAACAATATTTAAATTTGTCTATAATACCTGAAACTAATGAAAACACTTTTATACATGTGAAACATTTTGTGTTCTTGATGCGAACATTTTTTTTATCCTGTTCCGAAAGTAAAGTTGTCGGAAAAAGTATCATATGTTAAAAGATCACATAAAGCATTGATACGAGCTGATCACATACCAATTTTATACAAATAATGCAAAATAATGTTGTAAAATCAAGAAAACGTTGATAAACGTGGTACCGCATCATGCAGAACCGTGGCACCGCTTCTTTTTGCGCGGTAATTCTGTGTACTTTAAAATGTGTTTAACAGTTTTTGTTTTGTTTTTTTTGGTTATATTTTTATCGTAGGATGGACAAGAAATGGTAAATGTTTGGTTACTGGTTAGGGTAAGCGGGGCCACCGGTTGCCCATATAGGTGAGTCCTCCAAAAGAGTATTAGTCATTTTAGATTTTTGGAGGATAGTGCAATTACAGGTACAGAAAGATGACCCAATTTCAGAAGCTTCTCCTGGTTCTTTAGCGTGCCAAGTGTTTAAGCACCCATACACGAGACCTCGATTTAAAGTCTCATCCGAAAGACTGATTAGTAATTTTAGTTGGCCAGCCCGGGAATCGAACCCACAATGTCGAGATTACAAGTCTCGCACTCTAACCGATTGAGATATGCAGGCTGGCTCTCAGGTTAACGCATTATGACTGTATATGTATACGATTGAACTCTGACACATTTTCAACAGAAAGGTCCCCAAACTATGATACAAGTATGAATTGGTGTTCTCAGTATGGTAATATAACACAGTGAAAATCAAACTGAAATTAATTTAAGAAGCAGGTTCTGTTAATCTTCCGGGATTTTTTTATATGTTTGGAAGGAAAATGGAACCGCAACTCGAACATCTATTTGCATAAATAATCTTATTATTTTAATTAAACTAAAGAAACACGTTTCTCTGATGTCAAAGTAAGAAAAGTGTTGTACTCTTTTGAAAAATGAGTTATGTCAATAATAGCGGGACAAACGCACTGCCGTCTGCGTTGTAAACAATTTTTGTCAATTCTTCTATAAAAAAGGCAATAACAATTTTCAAAAGTTCCAAAATATGGTTGTTTTGTGCATTTATTATACGTACCATGTAATGTTGGCGTATTTAGGGGTCCTTTTGCACACATGTGTACATGTTTTAACCAAAATTAGGCGAAAGAGGCGTCCCCTCGTCAAACTTTACAGAAGTGATTGCACAAATGGCAATGAATTGCACAGTGTGCGTGTAATAAGTTGGAAAAGTACATATGTGGGCTCCAGTCTCACTATGTGTTTAAAGTAAAACATTAAAGCATAAAGCAAAATTCAGTCATAAACTTACCGACTGCAGCAAACGCCCATATTTTATCCATCGCTTCTGCGACGAAATTTCCACCGCCGCTTCGATGGACCTACCGCTTCTACGAAGGCTCTGGCCAGTGTTATTATTATGTTCTTGGTTTACAATCATTTTACTATTCTTCGTTATAGTCTTATCGTGTTTTTTTTTTACAATTTAACAGTCCCGTTCAAAATTGGTCATGCGTTATATTGTTTATTAAATAATGACAATTTTGTTCTTAGTTGTATTATTTTTTTATTTTCTCGTATATATAATACATTATCATGCAGCAAAATTATATTAATATAACACATATAATAGTTTATTACATGTGCGATTTTCCAGCACTCAAGTTACAGAAGGAAAGAATCGAAGTTTGCGTAATAACATCATTACAAGAGCTCATTTATAATCATACAGTATATTACAATACAGTATGATACCGACTTGTACAGATATATATCATACTGTCCTCACGTAAATGAGTCAGACAATACGCTTGCGTCGTCGTTAACATCAAATTTTAAGTTACATAACGTGCGCCGGGTCGCTTTACATGCACATTGCATTAACGGCATAACATTTTCAGTTGTTAATGTTTCTTGTTGGTATTTTTCGTTTCATATAGGGGATATATTCCGATTTATGTTCCGTGTATTTTTATGTTAATGCATCTTACATGATATCCTCATATAGGTTCATATCGTGGTTAAATTATTAGGCATATGAAAAACCATTATTATACAATTGCATGTCCTGAAGACTTTAAAATCTATTTCCATTTTTACATATACATATACATTTATAAGGAGGATTAATCATATGCACTATTTACAAGTGACATTCACAGGGACGCTGATCAGTTTAATCAGGATGATAACGCTTTATCAGAAATTCGTGCTTACTTTATAGGCGGGGCTTAGTATGCTAAGTGTTCTATCCCATGATTCAAATTATCGAATAAATATTTTTCAGTAGATCTATACAATACATATTTTAATTATACAATATATATATTCAAATATAGAACATGCATATAGAAAATTATCGCACACAAATATTTTTTATGCTGAACAAATATTCAGCAGGATTGAATGAATATAATGGTATAGAATATAAAATTAGAGTTATACAATATAAATTTTGGATATAGAACAAAAAATTAATTTATTGAATATTGCAACGTTTAACATGCCATAGTTACATTTATTCATAACATTTTCAATGTAAACTTGCTTCTTTACATGTACAAGAAAGTAAGCAATTTGCATTCTACTTGTCCTTATCGAACCGTTTCTTTCAAATATAACCATGGTCCCATGTGTTTACGCCGGACACACAAAATAACCAAGTTTGCTTCTATAACTAAAGCATCTATAGTATTTATGCATTTTCCTCCGTTTTGTAAATGACTGATAAATACAAATAAGAATATTCAGCATAAGGTTAATCATCATGATGCGGTGCAAGTCTAGTGATAATTAGTCGCCGGTAAAAACCGGCGACTATATTTGTAACAGTTTAAATATTATACCTATGGTAGGAGAAGGCCTTAAATCTGTAAATAAACGCATATCAATTACTGAACAATTAAAGACTACAATTGTTTTCAGTAATCTCAAAAATTCAAACATACAATAACGTTGCTCAATGAAATGAAATATTCAAATATTGACATCTTAAAAAGCAACATTACAATTTCTATAAAATGAATTAATGATGTATCCCTATGATTTAGGGATACTTTTACTTATTTCAAAGTGTCAAGCGTTTCTATTTTATGATAAATAAATCACACATGATATTTGAAATGACACTTTAAATTATCTGGGTGTTCATATCTTATGAGACCTATTCTATTTTATTATTTTATTTAGTTATAAACTATTTCTCCCTGTTTCTTTGTAAGAATCACGTGACTACACGTTGTATGCTATTGTTATAAAATCTATTAATAGTAACAAATGGCTGATAGTGCAAATCAAAGTAATTTTGTATGAATAATTATAAAGTCTCGGTATGACAGTAGGGGCCGGAATCGTATTGGATATACAGAGAAAACTAATAAACTTAACTAATCTTTTTGTTGATAGTTTATCGCACTGGAAGGCAATTAAACGTTAACTATATTGTATGTAACGACGAGAATATTGATTTCAACTAAATTATTTATTTTTTGATAAGAATAATTTTTTATGCAGACACCACTTTTACAGTAGAATTGCATTGTTTTATGCAATAATTAAGCATATATATTTTATAGTCACTTTGCAAATATTCGATGATCGGTAATAATCGGAATCTGAAGTAAACCATATGGATTTCAATGTAATATTTTGTATGGTACAACGGTATATGTATAAAGTAGAATTACAAGTACAATTACAAGCATATCACTTGCTTTACAACCCTCGATGACAAGGTGTAGATTTTCAGTTAGTTTCAAATTGAAGACTGTATGTTCGATAAAGTGATTTTTTTATGTTTTCTTTTATGATATTTTTTGTATTTTGCAAAACTTGACCATTTATCAAAATTATGAAATAAAAAAGTGCTAGAAATGAAACACACGATTTATCAACTTATGTTTCATATAGTTAAAAGATATAATAAAAATCAATTTATGAAAACTACAAACAGGATTTGTCCAAGATTCGAACTTGCGCCTACTAGGTTACAACTTCGTCATACTTACCACTAGGCCATCGAGCAGTATTAATTGATATATACATGTAATTATACTTACAATAAAATCGTAAACATTAATCATAATAAGTTATGAAAACTAACGAAACACCTCCCGAAAATCAATGATGAGTCTCGGGTAAATATTGCCAAACAATACTTGATTATTTAATAATGATAACATTTTCTTGACAAAATTTGATTCAAATATGATGTTTTATTATAAAATAACACAAATTTATTGCATGAAACTCTTTCACAAAGTTTATAACAAGAAAGATATAATTCTGGCAAGATCATGAAAACGTGCTTATGAAATATGAATGAACATTACTCAACTTATTGTTCCTCTTTTCTTTATACTCGAACCATTAAACTGATATTTTCTTTTTTTTATATATAATACAATCATATTTCTATCCGGCGACTTGATGCTTTAGCATCAAAAACTCTACTTGTTTATACGGTGCCACTTTTTTCGGTGCAGACCCATCAT